CCAACAGTTTGGCGTAGTCTGCGGCTGCCTCCTTAGAGGCAGTCTGGCGCTTCTTCTTCAGCGCGATACGACGGTGCTTCCTCTGCAGCACGACAGGGGTGATCAGACGCTGGATCTTGGGGGCCTTGGAAGTGGCTTTCTTGTTGTCCTTGGCGGGCAGCGGACGGCGGACAACGAAACGGCGCACATCATCCTCCTTGCTCAAGTTGTACAACTTGCGGATTTTGCTGGCACGCTTGGGACCCAGGCGACGGGGGATGGTGGTGTCGGTCAAACCACCAATATCCTGCTCGCCTTTCTTGATGACGACCAGAGCCAGAACAGACATGTTGGCATCCACAATGCAACCACGAACAGACTTTCGCTTGCGCTCGCCAGTGCGGCGTGGGCGGTAGCAAGAGTGTCCCTTCTTCAGCAGTAGACGCACACGACCTAGTAACAAAAAACGTTTATTGACTGTCAGTAAGCGCCGAATAAAGGAATTTGACAGTGTCTTACCATGGGTCAGCACACCCTGCTTCATGGGGAAGCCCTGCTTGTCGTTGCCTCCGGCGATACGGAGCTGGTAACCCTTCCACTCATCACCGAGAATATCGGCTTCCACAACCTGGCCCATACGCTTCTCGTAAAATACACGCAGCTTGTGTTCGTCGACAACTTCGAAGAGCTTTTGGCATCCCGTAGCGGGATAGGAAACGTTGAGCTGCAACACAAAAACAAAAAGTTCAACACCATTAGCTATGCACGTACACACATAAGTATGTGTATTCAAATATACAAATACGAGTTATCTTGAGATCTATCTCTTATTTTCAATGCAATCACTTATTATTTTCATTCGAAATTTGTTAATTTCACTTCTATAGTGTTAACACATTTGTACTCATGCAATATTTTTTAATGTTTGTCGGTTTTATTGCACGATTTTTCACAAATTTTTAGCACACCTTCATACTGTTGGTCTGTTTGCAGGCAGCGCAGAAAAAAAAAGAATCGGCCGAGGTCTGTTTGCAGCAAGCGCAGGAAATAGAGATGGGCACTATCGATAGTATCAATATTTTACTGATGGCCTCTACTATCGACAGTTTTGCGACTATCATGATAGTATCGAGCTACAGTCGTTGCGCTTTTGATATGTTTGGATTGACTGCTATAAAATACGAAGACAAATTTGTAAAAAAATCGACAGGTGGCATCTAAGTTTTACAATGGACAAGTTCCTAAAAGGTTTCAATAGTTTTTAAATAATTATTTGAGCCCGATACTATCACGATAGTATCGATTGTTTTTTCAAAACATTCAAAGTTGATATTCCCCGATTTTGATATTCGGTTTAATATTACTAGCTAGTTGGCCCTCTCAGCCCTAAACAAATAATTTTAGCCGACAGATACATACATTTTTTAAGAGATTGGCAAGTTTTCAGAAGTCCTTTTTATTGGATTATTTACATATTAAGGTTCAAACAAAAACAACATAAAACGAAAAAAACACCTAGCGAACAGAATCATTGTTGATATTCGTATGAAACCGATAAGAAATGTTTTACGGCAAAAACTGTTTTCTAGGCTCTGTACGGAAGGCAGTACTCAGATCAAAAAACGAAAAGGTCGCTATATCCTGGAAAAGTATCCGAAGTATATGCTTGTTTTGTTGGTATGTTTCGACCCACCTCGAAAAAGATATCAATTTGATATAATTTGCCAGCAAACACGAAGCAAACATTGCAATAAGAGAAAAAAAAACCAAATGAAAGATTTGTATAATGAAGACAAATATAATCTTATTAATGCAGTATTATATGAATGACAATTATATGTATATTAAAATATATTATTTTTAATAATTTTTTATAAATATAAAACATATATTGTTTTCAAAACATTTTTTGTGCAATATACATTGCACCTGGGGATAACCTGGAAGTAGCAAACCAAGCTGTAAGATGTACATTTTTTTAAAAATTTTAAATCTAAAAAATTATAAGCTCAAAAGTGTATATACTGACTGAGTACCTACGTTCCCAACTTCCGTTGTATATAACCTTTCTTTGCTGGCAAACATTTTTTGGATATTATGCAACACACATTGCCAACCGAGCCAGCTAAAATTGTAGCCGACAGACATAACCGAAATGCTTGTCATTTTCTGAGCTTATATACCCGTACATACAAAAAAGGGGCGCATGCTGGTAAAAGTGTATGTGTCCAACGCAGACAGGACGTTTCCGACCCATAAAGTATACTTGATCAGCATTCGGCCGAGTCGATATAGCCATGTCCGTCTGTCCGTCTGTCCGTCCGTCCGTCCGTCTGTTCGGCATTTTTTAGCGACATGTTCGACTTCAAGCTGACGAAACCAAATTTGGTTTCCAGAAACATGTTTCCCTGCCCAAGTTTCTTTTGCCCGCCCCTTCCGCCCCCAGGACAAAAATGTGTGGCAGGCACATTTTTAGATACGATAAAACTAAACGTGCTTGTGTAGTGAATGCCCTACAATTGTTGGCCGATCTGAACTTGATCGGATCATAATTATGAGGGCAGAATGAAGAAATTAATTTTCAGTTGCCTCCCCTGCCTCCTCCTGCCAACGACAACCACAACTCATTGTCCTTCTCCTCTCACTCTGCCGCGTTCTGTGGCTATTATACCCTTTTAGCAATATTTGGAATATGTTTTGTCAACAAAATTCTACGTATTTCTAGGAGGGTGGAGTATGGTTATTCCTCTTTTAAACATTATTTTGTACGTGCCTCCAAGCCAGCAAAATTGTATCCGCCCTGTAAAGCATTTTCTATAAATTCCGCCCAGCGCTGCTTTCATCTCACTGCAGCTAGTCAGCTTAACGCATATGGTCTCTCGCCCTGACTGCAGGCTATTAGGACTCTCAAAACTGAACATATAATTGTATTTAATTGATGAATCAATTATCTGCAAGATTGGTTTATATTAAGGACTTTTCAATTGGATTATTTATAAAACAAGGTTTTAGCAAAGAAAGTCAACAAAAATGTACCTTTTTTTACATATTAACTACACGGTAACTACAAATTTGCTACATATCAACCGACCGCGCGCTTCGCTGCTTAATACTATTGTCTGATTTAGACTAGACTGAATCTGTGGAATACGATATCCCTAGATATCACATGTCGAAAACGCAACTCTGAACAAAGGTTGCCATACACACAAAAAATTGTTTAGCAGCACGTGTGTTTTCATTTTTATTATTATTAAAATCCATGCAAAATGGGCAAGCCGAAGAAGGCCAATGTGGCGATAATTAAAAATGTAAGCTTGGAAAAACAGATAACAGAAGGAAAGGTTGCGAAGGCCAAATCCAAAAGCAAGTTCAATTTACGCGACGAGGACTCATCGGTATGGTTTGAATTATAGACCAATCTTCCTGAATTCCAGCTAATCCCTCATCTTGCAGAACATAGATGCCAAGAGCAGTCAAAAGATTTTGGCGGCTGCTAAGAAACAGCAGTTGGAATTAAACGAGGAGAACTTTCCGAGCTTGGTGACTGTTAAGAAAGTAAACTTCAGTCTGAGTAAGTCAAAAAACGGTTTGTGTTCAACCCAACATACTAACAGAAAAGTCTCGTCTCTGTTTAGACGATGGCCACGCAAATGAAAATGAGGAGGTCATCGAGGCCGACTTTATGGTCGACCTGGATATGGATGATGACGATGTTGCCGCATTTGAGCGCTTCCAGAACCCGGCTAAGGATATCAAGCGCACGCTGCAACTGTCCGAAATAATCGCGCAGAAAATCCAAGAAAAAGAAGCTGATATACACAACAAAATCTCGGACGCCGGCTCGCTCAAAATCGAAGAGATTGATCCCAAGGTAAAGGAGATGTACGAGGGTGTCAGGGACGTATTAAAGCGTTACCGCAGTGGCAAGGTTCCAAAGGCCTTCAAAATCATACCAAAGCTGAGGAACTGGGAGCAGATCCTATTTATAACAGAGCCACATAACTGGAGTGCAGCCGCCATGTTCCAGGGCACCCGCATCTTTTGCTCAGTCTTGTCGCAAGCAATGGCCCAGAGGTTCTACAACCTGGTTCTGTTGCCTCGTGTGCGCGATGACCTTTGCGAGTACAAGAAGCTGAACATGCACCTCTACAATGCCCTCAAGCGGGCTCTATTCAAGCCGGCCGCGTTCATGAAAGGCATCATTCTGCCCTTGCTGGAGTCTGGCGATTGCACTCTGCGCGAGGCCATCATCTTTGGCAGCGTTGTGGCTCGCAACTCGATACCCGTCCTGCACTCATCCGCCTGCCTGCTGAAGATTTGTGAGATGAGCTATTCCGGTGCCAATTCCATATTCATTCGGTTCTTCCTCGACAAGCGCTACGCCCTACCTTATCGCGTGGTCGATGCGGCTGTCTTCCACTTCCTAAGGTAAGTTCCATTGCCGTTTATGGCTTTTTTTCAACTGACGTACTGACAACGTATAATTTACGTTCTGCCCGTTTGAAAATAGATTCGAAAACGATAAGCGCGAGCTTCCAGTGCTATGGCATCAAAGTCTGCTAACATTTGCACAGCGATACAAGAACGATATATCTTCTGAGCAGAGGGATGCCCTTCTTCAACTGTTAAAGTCAGTAATTTGATAACTACAAACAAGCATAGTAGTTTCATATTTTCCGATTGCAGGAAAAAATCTCATCCGAAAATCACGCCGGATGTGAGAAGAGAACTGCAGGCAGCCACTTGCCGCGATGTTGAAATGATGGAGACTGATAATGGCCTGGCTGCTCAGCCCGTCAAAATGTACACAGATGCTGATGTTGGATACGATGGGTAAAAAACATGTAATTTTGGTTTACGGACTCTACGGTTCCCTTTGAAGATGTTCGATCGAATCCGTTTAGTATCCGATACTGCGCTTTTATGTAAATATGTCTACATAAAGTGGTTGCTGGGATGCTCTACTATAATAAAAACTATATTCAATGAGTGTTAAATGCTTAGTATGAAAAACAAATTTATTTTTTACAATTTTGCATTAGTTTATATTTTTTTTTGCGGTCGTGCGCAGTCGCATGGGCTTTGACGGAGGACGACGATACTATACATTATGTATGTAGTTTAATAATTAAATATTAAAGTTTTTAATTAATAAATATAATTATGTAACCAAAATATTTCTAAAAGTTTCGTCACTTTCTTTAGTCTCTAAGTATTGTTTCGTTATCTCACTCCAACATTTTTACTTTTTAATTTATTATATTTCCTTTTTATGTTCGTTTATTAAAGGGCACACAAATCATGGAAAGGGGTTACCAGCAGGCAGAGCCCGCCGGCGGCAACGTTTTGACTGGGTTTAGGTTTAGTTGGGATCAATTGGAATAATTTACAATAGTATCTACACAAGAGAATTGAAATTAGTCAGTCAAGTCGCTAAGCATTGAAGCTCTTCAATCGTTAGATTTGGTTTTTGTCCTGGGCTGAACTTTGACTTCCTTAAACACTTGCATAGAAGTACAGATGTAGGTACATATGTATGTACATATATGATCAATCCTCAATGGAATATGAGTTCTTAATGTCGTCAATGAGTTAGAAGCTCAAGAGAATGTAACTTGCTGATCTCATGGACATTTTTAATGTTTTAATAGTTAATATTTAGAAAGGTGTGAAAGCTAAATAATCAAAGAGAGGGTACACGTACACTAATATAAATCCATTGATAACTTCTATAAAAATTAGAAATAATATTTTTTTAATTAAACCCTAAACTGAAAATAAAGTGGAAAATATTTATTCTTTCTTTTTCTTGTCCTTGATCGTGTTTTATTTATTTTACTTTGCTATATATATTTTTTGGATTGGTTTGTTATGGGACCGTTTTTAATAAAAACAATCACACATTCTACCCATTGGTCCGAGTTGTGTACGAATTTTCATTCCGTCCTTCATTTAATAGACTCAAATTTAAATATACAGTTCCATACACATTATTTTTTTTTTTTTTGGGCTCAAATGGTCATTGGTTCCGCAATTGAATTAACAATAATTAAACGATATGTATCCATTTTGAATGACACAGTTTTGTTAACGTTTAAAATTTCCTAAGCTTCTGTGTCTTGTCTTTCTCTTTCTTCGATTTTTAAACAGCTTTAATCGATCTACACATCATCCATTCTGTGTCAAACTTGCACAAAACTCGACGAACAAAAAAAAAATGGTCACGCAGCAATTCAACTGCTCTGCAGCTCAGATATCGAAAAATCATAATTTTGATCAAAAAGCAGACCACAGGGCTACAAAATGAAAACTTTTCAGTGTGTTTCACGCAAAGCAAAAACCAGTCGAATCGATGTAACTAATACTATGTAATACCCGGTACTCAGTTACTATGTATATGTATTTTATCTCGCTTTTGTTCTCTATCTCTCTCCACCAACGAACCGTTATACATATCTCACTGACTTCGCTGAAATCTAGAGAATCTACATTGAAGGGGATTCGGTTACGGGAAATTTTGTTCTTCTTTCTGTCTAAATTATTGATCGAAACTGGTAGATACGATTATTCTTTATGACTGTGCTTCGGTTGTCTTTCTCGTATCTTCCAAAATGTTGGACCCAGATTTTTTTCTTTGAGGGGTAGGGGTCGTGGCACAATTTAAAAATACATTTGTTACAGTTTCTTATCCCAGGAGTCTGCAATGTACACATTTTGAGATCGGAAAAGCTTCCTTTAGTGTTTTTTTTTAATACATCTACAGGAATATAATATAAGTCTATGCTGCTTGAGTACCGCGTATACAATGCTTGGGCTGGTTAATCCCTGGTTGACTAAATCATAGACCATCTTTTAACATTTTGGAAAACTAGATACATATGTAGCCGAAATATCGCCCAAAAGTATCTTTGAGATGGTTTCTACAAGGTATCACTGTTTCATTCGTAATGCCAGGGTGTCAGTGCAGTGTATAGTGTCTGAATGATAGACCGAAGTGCTGGAAAGGTTCATGGTATTTGATGGTCTGCATTTGAATTAATTTATACTAAATTTGAACTTATGCATCTGGTTCTGCAAAATGTCAAGAAACATCAGAAGCTGGGTAATACATACATATGTATAAGGTACAGATTTTGTTACTAAAAAGTTCGTAAATATTTAATTTTACAATTTTAATTATTCGTAAACTATTTGATTGGGGTTGTAACTAACGCTACAAAAAATATACCTTGCCATATAAATAAATTTTCTTATGCTGGAAAGCTACAACTTTAGGTATAGCCAAAAACCATTCTATGGAGACTAATTATACATCATGAAAAGTTTTGACAGACATTTCCCTTTTTAAGCTTCAATTTTCTTTAATATCAACAGTCCCTTAACAAGTTATTTGAGTGTTATAAAAAGATTTTTGGAAATCTATATATTGCAAGTTTGAAAGATGAGATCTACAGATTTAACAGGCCTGCAAACGAATTTTTGTTTCGTGTAAAGTGAAAAAGAAATGTAGCACAGTGTACTAATTAAATTTCAAATGATCCCAACTGATATGCTGTTTGATTTCCAGAAGCTAAAACAATTTTTCACAAGGCCTTCGACTAGCAGTGTATTAGAAGCATAATAGATCAGCCTTCAGAAGGTGATTAAGGTAGAACTGAAAATGCATTGGCCAGCTCCTATCGACATACATACATATGTTTTTGTATGCATGTGTAAATCTGTATGTATGGTGATGTGTGAGCTCACAAGGATTCAAATGAATATGAACACATACATATATGATTAATATTTAGCCAACATAAACACGGCCTTTGTAGTAAGATTTGGTTATGACTATAATTTTATGCTCTAAAATTTTCAAAATCAATTTCATGTTCTGCATATACATACATATGTATGTATGTAAATGTATGTATTCGCGTACGCCCTTATATAAATACATACGAGTTCTCACATTTTTTGTTTGTTTTTTTATCATTCGATTTCCGACTTAAATCTAGTATGTATTCAGTATTCAGTTTATGCTATGTATCGTATATTAAACAACCCATGATTAGAGTAAAAGTCAAAAATGCATTTCTGGACAAGATTTTCTGGTGTATGCATTTCTCTCACTGTAACTCTGCTGTGTATCGACCACCTACCTGTTCTTTTACTTTAAAGATCACACTAGATCGTCATCGTCCGAGCGGTAGGCCCACGGCCACCGCCCTCCCACAAAAACACGCGTATACGTACAATAAAAAAAACACAACCATATTTGAGGGCCTGGCACTGTAGCGAGTCCCGTTCGCGTGCTGCATTGCGGCTGGCTCCTCACCTGCATTGCAGTAAGAAAGAAGAGAGTGAAATAGAGTGAAATATCACAGATCCTCTCCCCCCAGAACGCGACTTACCGTTAAGTACATGTACTACAACCGTCTCCGTAATCTCGTTGCCCAGCATACAGGTGTAGTTCCCGGTATCTTGTCGATTCGCATTTGCAATGTATAGGCGACTCAGAGCTCGTCCAGGCAGCATATCCGTTTTCACACTGCGAAAACACATATTTACATATGTATGTTAATTGAAATGAGCAACTATGACACTGTAGGTGCGTGTAAGACATGTGTAAAACAGTTGCAACCTCGAGTGCAATGGTTCCTCAAACGTAATCACACAGTTTATAATATAACCTAGTAACCTAATACCTGATGCCACCCCGACTGGTGTCATAGTTGAGCAGACGGGGTCCGTGTCGCCAGGTGATGTAGGACGATGGATGTGGAATTTTGGAGATGACACACTGCAGCTCGATGGTGCTGCCAGCCTTGTAGTACTTCTCCGGTGTGGCCGATCCTCTCTCGTCGAGAATTTCCACATGAGGAACTGAAAAGAGTTAAGAAGATTGTATAGAGCTATCAAGTACCCAGAAGGGAATCGGAAGTTTATTACCAATGATAGTTAGATATACGAGGAGCACTAGGGGAGGATGCGAGGAGACCTGACACTCGTAGGGTCCCTCATCGCGCTCATTGGCAAACTGTATAAGAAGCTTCCAGTCATTAGGCTCCTCGAACTCGAGCGAGTAGCGTGAGTCGCCGCTATAGGTGTGCTGGCCGAAGGTTATCAGGGTGAGGTCCTCGCCCCTACGCCGCATCCATGACACCGTCTTGCCCTGCAGGTCGTTGACGCGGCAATGCAGATACACGTTCGAGGAGAGCTGCGTGCTTATATTAACCGTCGTATAGGGATCAGCAAAGAAAGGGAACGGCTCGTGCGTGGTCGTCTCGGTGACCTCCAGTTCCTCATCTTCCGGCGTGTCTGTGAACGGCGACGAGAACTCCTGCCAGAAGTTCCTCGGGAACGTGTCAAAGGGATCGCCAGCTCTGGGACGCTTCACTATATTTAATCACATACAGAATACAGGAAAAGGTAAAATAAAGTAAGACATTACTTAGGGCCATTAGGGAAGGGCCCCACTTACATGTTGTCGAAGTAGATCCCGACCCAATGTGATGTAGTGATGAGTATATAATTGCAAATATCCAAAATAATCTAGGTCTCATCACTGCAAAAGAGGGGCAATATGGCAATTCCACTGAAAATCTGCTCAGTAATGCTTTCTTTACTCACCGCACGATATGCACATACGAATTTGCTTAACTGTAACCGATTCTATTTTGATCCAACTGCATCCGTAAGTGCCAGTCCGGGCAGCCTCATCGTTCTCTATTCTATGCGTCGGGACAGTCAAGGCAAAGACAGGGAAAATTTACTTCCCACTTTTGGTTGCGGTTCTTTCTCAATATTTATCGATTAAGCATTAAGTTAGGGCATTTTGCAGCAGATGTTAGGCTTACGTAAATTTTGCTAAAAGCATTTGAGCATCTTAAAGTTTTCCAATATTATTTATTTTTTACAAAAACAAAGGCTAGTAAACGATTATTAACCTTCTTGCGTTGCGTGTGTATTTATTTTTTCGCAAATGCCTTTGGCTGTGGCTGCCTTAGATGACCAATAAATTTGAATGTAGGTCAGGGCAGGCTCTGCGCATGGACAGCATCCACAGCATTTCGCTCTTTCGGTACGCACACCACACTCCTTCGACATCAACAGAAAACCACGTACATATGTATATATGTACATACGTATGTTTGTATGTAAATATTTACTTACATATGTACGTACAATATGATCATTCTAAATAATATAATGCCATATGTCCATATGACCTATTCGTGTGTTTTTGTATGTATTCAAAATATAGCCAGTCTATTGATTCTACTGATGCTTAGTATTCGTAGTTTGTACTTATTCAAAGCAAAGCAATCCTACACTTAAGGCGAGCGTTTGTTCTCCCTCCCATAATTCTTGCGGCAGTAGTTTATCAATTTTTCATGTTTTGCACTATTAGATGCATAATAAAAGCAGAAAAAAAGATTATTTACAATATATTTAACAGTACATTCAAAAATAATTATTTGAGCCTTAGTTCAAAAAGCGATAGTTATCGATAAGCCGATAGATAAGATGTCCTCACAGAGTTATTTCCATGGACATATTGTTTGGCGGTAAGAGTACGCTAAGAAAGTCCATATACCAAAACCAAAGCGACAAAATACATGTTGTTAGAACAACTAAATTTTAGCGCCTTTTATGTTTCTCAAACTAATTTCAAAATTTATTTTATCGAGCGTATATGTAGACTTCCTGCGCATGTGCAGTTATGGGCGTGTTGGTGAGCGAGCATTAAATAATTGAGAGAGCGAGCATACAGTAGCTTTCCGAAGTATTCCCACACCACGTGCAGGGACTCAGTTCTTAATAATCACCATGTTTATTGAGAAATCATAATTAGCAGTATAAATGGTATAAGTGCTTGTACTTTTAGTTATAATTATATGCGAAGAAATCTAACGATTTAATACTTTTTCGAACGAAGTAAAAAGACTGAGTTAAATCAGCTCAAGGCGAACAATTTTTGCCTGCACTGTGCGCACATAGTAGCCACATGTGCCGCCCTTATCTTTTCGGTGGTGGTGCGATGTGGGAAAATCTAATGAAGGGAGGACTGAGAGCACGGGCCGGGAACACAGACAGAATGCCATGCATAAGTCGCGCAACGTTACACACAGGCACACAAACACAAACGAACATCGATATCACAGAGGAAGAACCGTTCATTCGTTTTCGTGCCGTTCACAATTTGCATTGAATCACTTTTTCATTTCTTTTTCTGTTTTATGTTCTGTTTGGGTCAACGTCAACGGCAGCAAAATGCTTTGAATATTAATCAGAAAAACTACGCCTAAAAATTAAAAATCACTTTGAATTCTACGCGGTGAAGGCAGAAAAAAGGGAGTGCGGTACTGCGACACCGGCGAGCCATCAACGAGAGATAGACATACGTACAGACATACATATGTATGTACATTTGCATGTGCGTACATACACACATAGGTTCTAGAAGCAGAGGTTGCGGCAGCAGCGTAAGCATTTTGACGTTGCAGTTCGACGAACAGAAAACAGAAATAAAAAATCAGAAGCCAGCCGGCAGCAGAGATTAGGAGTCGAGTTTCTGGCACTGTGTCCTAGAAAAATAGGAAGAAAGATTAAGGAAATGGATGAGAATTCGCATGTACTGAGTATGCTTGGTGGCTTGGCTATTGGCATTGTCGGCTTTCAGTTCTTTCGCAAGGTTTTGCCCTGGATATACTCTAACGTGGTGGGGCCGACGGTCTTCGGATCCACCGTAAACCTTGCCAAAATGGGCGAATGGGCAGGTGAGTGAAAATGGTTCCGGTCGATAAGGAGTTTGACGACTGCTGATAAGGAAGAGAATCCGAGCTAACTTCCATCAATTTCAGTTGTTACTGGGTCCACGGATGGAATTGGCAAGGCCTACGCCAAGGAGGTATGTAAACGTCCATGGATAGTACAAACCACTAGCCCTAATCAAAGTCCATTCAACTATGACTTGACAATTGGGAAGCGCGCAAAAAATGCAATCATAGAATACCCATTAAGCGGGAATGACTTGGACATTGCTTGCGAAAATGCACTGGCCGAGTAAATCTACACTTTGGAATTGATCTTCAGTCGCAGCAGCCACTCAGCCCTCCCGTCCAGCGTTCCCTAATTGTTTTGACTTAACAGCGGATCGCTACATTTGCTGCCTCCTCTCCGCACAGTAATTTTTGTTTATTCTGGCAAGTGCGGTCTTAGCGCTTTTTTGGACACTGGGCGGCTCCCAGCTGTATTTATTACCCACTTCTAACAATCGACCAGAAGATTACATAGTGGTTTTTAAGCACGTGTCCCCCTAAGGGCTGTAGCCGGTCAAAGCTTTATTTCACATTTGCATGCAGTCTGGAAGAAAGAGGCAGAAAATGGTTCAATGTTCACTTAAAATTTCTATGGACGGGGAAGACGAACAATAGCATTTCCTTCTCGTATTCAATTGTAATTGCTTGGGGAATTAATGGTTTTAAACCAATAGCGTTCATAGAATATTTAATAAACATGTTTTTTCCAAATTTTCAGCTGGCTCGAAAAGGACTGAAGCTGGTGCTTATCAGTCGATCGTTGAATAAACTGAACGACGTTTCCAAGGAAATAGGTAAGCCGCAGCTTGACTTCCCTTACACTGGTTATCTTATCTCTTGTGGCATACTTTCAGGCGATGAATTTGGGGTGGAGGTGCGTGCCATTGATGTGGATTTCACAGGCGGCCCTGAAATCTATGAAAAGATACGCGAAAAAACCACTGGCCTGGACGTCGGTGTGTTGGTGAACAATGTAGGAATCAGCTACAGTCATCCCGAATACTTTCTGGATTGCTACAATGCGGATCCGATGTTTTTGAACAATATTGTGGCAGCCAATATACACTCGGTAACGCATATGAGCGCATTGTTCTTGCCGGGCATGATTTCCAAGCGCAAAGGAGTCATCATCAACTTGTCGTCCACTGCCGGCGTCATTCCGAATCCCCTGCTGAGCGTATACAGTGCTACCAAGGTGAGTAGACGGTGATGAAGAACCTTTAGAGCAGAACCTTACCTACTTTCTCTGGTTTCATCCTTTTATCAGGCCTTTGTCAACAAGTTTAGCGATGATCTGCAGACGGAGTATAAGGAGCACGGCATTATCATCCAGAGCGTCCAGCCGGGCTTCGTGGCCACCAACATGTCCAAAATCCGCAAGGCCAGTGTGTTTGCCCCGTCACCCGAAACTTATGTGAAGTCTGCGCTCTCAACTCTTGGTATTGCCAGTCAGACCGCTGGATATTTGCCCCATGCCCTGCTCCAGCTAGTTATCCACTTCACAGAAGCTGTGTTCGGTGATCAGTTCGCCCGCAGTTTGGTTCTCAAGAATATTTTGGGCACTCGTAAGCGTGCACTTCGTCGCCTCGCCAAGGATCAGTAGATCCTATGACGCTCTTGCCTGCAGTGCCGGAACCCAATGATAGAAGGATGCATTTAAGAGAAGTCTAGTAACGAATCAATGGAATTTAGGTGGTCGGTAGCCATAGCGAGCGAAATTTGACTAGATAATATATCATCACGTGTCATGCATACATTTATTTGCAAACATAAACTTTGAATACCAAAAATGTTTCCAAATTCAATCAAGTTTAACTAGCTTTTTCAGTTAAATATGATTGCTAATTATAAAACGAAATACGCCTGCAGTGTCATTGCTACTTCGAAAAAGACATGTGTATGTGTGTACTGTATAAATTGCATTAGAAGTATGCCGAAAGATCGATTCCTTAACGGCCTGCATCTATGCGTTCATTCACCAACCATACACGGTGGCTATTAATAGCTGTCGCACTTTTTAAAAGCGATACTACTTAAAATCAAGCATTCAAAGACTTGCAGCCCTTATGAATTCATATTCTTAGGGTTATTGTGATTTGATTCCACATAATTATTATTTCGATTCACAAAACCGCCGTTCATACTCGAGAACACATCCATTTACACGCTGGGCTTGCTGTCTCTCGGCTCGTGTCACGTCATGAGTCGAACCACTAACCATACAGTATATAGATGTGCCAGTTCAGACAACAAACGTGTCGCAGCTGAGTTTTCTGTCCCTGCTCCCAGGCGCTTCGGCTCTGTGAGGCTGAGACATTCGGGTCGGGAGCCAGGCCATTCGGGTCGGGAGCTGGGCCGTTCGGCATGTATGACGCGGGCCGAGGCATTTACGAAGCCGAAAGCAGAGGCAAAGGCTAGCCTAAAAGAGAATGGAAGAAATAACCTACGCGCTCGACGCAACATCAGCTTTTCAAAACAAAACGAAAAAATATTTTATGAACAGCTTCGTCAATGCCTCGACCCGACCCGCGTCGAGTCGAGCGACAGAACACACCAAGAAAATATGAAGTCTTACGACGGGAATAGGTCCAGGACCGGATTAGCAGTTGCCTAGGGCCCTCCTAGAAATAACAGAAAAATTTTGTTGAAAAAACAAAACTCCAAATAATGAATACAAAATATAATGGCCACTGAGAAAAATACAAAATAAAGGAGGGCCCCAGATTGATGGTTGCCCAGGGCCCGGTTGAGGGTTGATCCGGCCCTGAATAGGTCGCTACATCACATCAGCCCTCAAAACAAAACGAAAAACCCAATTCAAGCGGCCAACAATTGTAGAGCCCACACACAAGCACAGTATGTGTGAATACATGGCACACACACATTTACGTAACCTGGAAACAAAACTCAAAACAAACTCAAAACGGTTTCGGAAAATAAGAATTGATACAAAATTTTGTCGTTTCTGTTTACACACATACATTTGCAATTCTCAGCTTGCTTTCGCATCTCGTCATGAATCGAACATGTCGAAAAAATGCCGAACGTCTCAGGCCCACGACCCGAACGTCTCAGCACCACAGCCGAATGGTACCAGCACCCTAGCCGAAGACCTGGGGGTGCTGGGACAGAAACCTCAGCTGCGCCCCTTTCGTTGTATGAACTGGCACATCTATATGTTGTATGGTTAGTGGCAGTACTCAGATCAAAAAATAAAAAGGTCGATATATACTGGAAAAGTATCCGAAGTATATGCTTGTTTTTTTGGTATGTTTCGACCCACCTCGAAAAAGATATCAGTTTGATATAATTTTCCAGCAAACACGAAGCAAACATTGCAATAAGAGAACAAAAAACCAAATGAAATATTTTAATAATGAAGACAAATAGAATCTAGCTAATGCAGTATTATATGAATGACAATTATATGGATATTATAATTTAGTTTTTTTTTATTAATTTTCATAAATATAAAACATATATTGTTTTCAAAACATTTTTTCTTCACGGTGTCCGGCACGGGAGGCGTCGCCATCTGCTGCTGCTGATAGTCAGACACATTACCTTGCCAATAAAATATTGGGGAGCCCAGGATATGGCTGGGGAAGAGCGGCCCCAGCCGAAGAAGTGCATATTATTAACTTTAAACAAAACCAAGCAGCTGTCTGAGCAGAGTAACCGTTCGGAATGCAGGCACACCTCTGGTCACACACTGGCTGCTCGAAGAATATATGACATTCGTTTGCTGGCAAACAGTTTTTCGATCTGAGTACTAGACTTAACTAACCATGCAATACAGTAAATTTATGTACCACTTTGTGGGAGCTGTCAGGTTCCCCTCTCTTCGGGTCGTTAAAAGCAGCGAATTTGAAAGTGTGGGCTTAAGCCGGTTCTCAGTGAAAACTTCTCACAAAAAATTAAAATATACGCGACAGCTGCCACTGAAGCTGACAGCTCCCAGAGCCGAGGACTTACAAGCCGAAGCGCTTTGGGAGCTGTCGCAGCAAGATTGAATGGGACAGACGTTTTGCTTGTGTGAAATTGATACATTATTGTATGTATGTACTGTATTGTATGGCTTGTGGCTGTGCTGCAAACGTGACCATGCGATATATTTATATATATGGAATTATCTAAATCATAACATAAAATATATTTGTTTGTGAGTGAAGGAAGAAAAGTACTTGTGCTTCTCCGGGTATGAAACGCATTTGTCAGCACTATCAAATTTCAGTCATCCGAAGATTTTTGTTAATCCCCACAGTAGCAGCAGTGCGCAAAACCAAACAATAACAACAAAAACAGCGTTGTCCGCGAATGTAATCAGTCTCTTGTTTTGATTTCTTGAAGCGTCAATTGGCACTATGATAAAGGGACGTCGGCAAACGCAGTTGTTATCACATCCCATCCCATCCATATGGCAGTAATCAGTAATCAACTTGTTGCGGTTCGCGCTACTGCCTGGTATTGATTTAATATACAGACATAGTTTCCCAATATTGATACGATACTAAAAATCTGGCATATTGCTCGGTGCTCAGCCCCACTCTCGGTTAGCTTTGGTGCTGGTGGTGGTTGCGGAAGTGGGAATCAGAATTGATGAAATTGTTGGAAACTATTTTTAATAGTGTCGACGGCCACTAGTCCACGCCACGGTCATAACCACAACAAGAGCTCGTCTTTGACGAGTGTGGAACGCGACTTGAGACTACGGAGAATATACGGAGAGGAGACGAAAGCAGAGCGCAGAGAAAGAGAGAGCTATTTCAAAAATGTTAAGAGCTCATCAAATATTCAGATCCGAAAAAGGGCGAGCAACAACTACAAAACAGTAGAGCACAACGGATAACGAGTGCCAGTGGCAGTGACAGCGACGGCCAGTTGTGGTCCGACAACGCACTGAATATCAAGCGCCAGGCCAGCTGCCCACATCACATCAAAAACAATGGCGAGCCGCCGCCTGCCGCTGTTTCCCATCGAGCCTGAGCCGCCAGCAACGCCCACACAGCGGCTCACGCTCTTGGCAACCCGGTGAGTGTGGGGGTGAGTGGGTTCGTCCATCCTTTGCGTGTACGTGTCCCATATTACCTGGAATTTGGTTTTGTTCCTGTTCCTAGATACACCTCACCTGAAAGGGTGGTGTGGCATGTCGATATGTGAGGGGGCACTGTCATGTTTATTAATAGACTCATGTTCTGATGTGATTCTGATTCCTTTCGCTGCAGCCTGCTACGTGCATTGCAATTAAACTGGAGGATTATCGTATCAGGCATCACCCTGACGCTCTTGGCCGTCATCTGGTATTATCCCACGTTCTTCTTGTTCTTTGCATTCGTCGTCTACTCCCTCGTTTTGGTATTTTCGGGTAAGGTCACAGTGACAATCAACGGCCACCATAAACGGTACCATTTGGCATCCCATCCCATCTTACCCATTCAAGGTAGATTAGATGGATGACTCATTGGACACCGGTTATCGGCTGGCGACCATTTTTAATGGTTTTGCCCCACCCCACCCCATCGAAGACCGAACACTGAAGAATTAATTAAAAGACAAAATATCTAATGACGATCCGATTCACTTATCTCTTGCATAGCTGTTGCCGGCACCGTCTACATACATTATATATTCACCACCAACGAACCGGCCAGACCCAGTCGATTGCCCTCCAAACATCTCTACAATGCCACAAAGTGAGTGCGGACTTTGATCCGATCCTACCCCATTCGATCCGTTATCCACTCCCGCTTCTTGATCCTTGCAGAAGCACCATCTTCGATCTGCCAAATCCCATCAAGAATCCATCGAATTTACCTTTGATCTTTGGCAAAACAGTCGATCTGCAGCTCCAGCAGATAATTGAATATGTTCTGCGCGACTTCATGCTGCCCTGGCTGGGGTAAGTAAGCTCCAATTACCCCCCGGAGTGACCTCCCTCATCCTCTTATGCACCCTGTTAGCTATGTGGTCACGAAGCCGAAGCTAATCAACGATGTGGTGCGTGAGGATCTGTGGAATGCCATACAGAAGATCCATGAGCGTGCCAGCAAAATGGATCCCGCCAAGATCATTGCCGTAGACATGGTGAATCGCGTGACCGTGCACCTGGAAAAGATCCGCATTGCCGAGGCCCGAGCGTGAGTGACCATCGATTATCCTGGGTTTTTTTAACTCAAATATCTCTTTCTGAACAGGGCCGAGACGAATACGGCGCCAGTATTCAGCAAAAACTCCTACCTGTCCGACGAGGTCAAGGAGATGGAGTTTCTGCGCAAGCTGTGCGAAATTATGGTGATCTTGCTGCTGCCACGCGGCTACTCCCTCCCACCGCTCAAGATGCTGCTCAGCGAAATTTTATCCTACAAGAGTAAGTTCAGCAGTTCACCAGAGGGAACGTTTAAATATATGTACATATGTATCTTGATTTTTTGCTTATCGTTTCTTACCTTGTCTTACCTTCCTAGTCTTCTTTCCCATGATCAACATGCTCACCGCACCCGACTACATAAACCAAAAGGTGGTGCAGAACATCGAAACGCGCCTGGCGGCGGCGGCGATGAACAAGCGGAGCTATGAGTATGCGGCTAGCTTTGAGGACTTCCTCAAGATTATCAACAACTCGGGAAACCTGGAGGATCTCTCGCTCATCCGCAAGAGTATAGTGAACGACCTGATGCATGCCACAACCATGCAGAACTTACAACGTGCCAAAGGTCTCGATCCGGACCATGAGGACCACTCCCTATCCAAGTCTGAGCTGACGGCGGCTGTGCGGCTCAAGCGCTATGTCCGCCAGCTGACCTTGGCTAAGGCCGAGTGCGAGAAGAATCTGGCGAAATTCGGCTGGAACGGCAACTACTCTAGCGACATAGTATGTGACAATGACCCAGGATATATGTACATATGTATGTCCTACCCTCTGTATCTTTATTCTTTAAGGATCTGACGCTAGAGGAAATATTAAACACGGCCGTGGGCCGACGGTACTTCACACTGTTCCTAGAGCCGCTAAAGGCTAGTGCCCTGGTCGGATTCTACCTCGCCGTGGAGGAGATCAAGCACGCGCACAAGAGTTCCATCCACCAACTGGGCACGGAGGTATTCTACACGTATATCCGCGTGCCCAAGTCGGAGATCCAAACCGACAAGCACGAGCGCAAGCTGATCGAGACCTTTCTGTTGGGGGATGCCGATCCGGATATCTTCTACGACATCCAGCGCAACATCTTGCGCACTCTCGAGGAAAAGTACTATCCGCCATTTGTGCTCAGCAGTCAGTACCGGCAGCTGAAGGAGGCGCTGGAATCAAACGAATTCACCGATCCCACGTTGATGCTGTTCCCCGCCATCGGCAGTGTATCCGAGGCGCACGATGAGCACCCCAGAGTCGCAGATGGCCTCAATGGCAGGGCCATCGATGTCGCCGCCCACACGTCGTATGCACGGCGCAAGCTGGAGCAGATACAGGAGCGCATTGACAAGAAAAATCAGGCCCTTGACGCCCTCAAGTACTCGGTCAAGCCGGAGTCCAAGGTCCTATCCATACTCGAGAAGGAGATGGAGTGGCTGAAGAGCGAGAAGCGTCAAACGGAGGCACATCTCCGCCGAACAGACGCTTGGACCGAGCATCTAGGCAAGTGGAAGGCCACCATACAAAGTGTGGAGGTGAGTTGACGTAGACGGTGGACTCTTATGGATCGTCTCAAATTATAGTCCTTTTCCTCCTCGGCACAGATCTCCGATGAAAAAGAGTCGCTGCAGTTCATGATACTTGTCCATGTGGACGAGGACATCAACGCTCCCCCGCAGGCGTTGCCAAAGAATGGGGACAGCAGCAGCGCCAAGCCCCCAAAAACGGCCCTCGGGCATATCCAGCGGCTGGGTGGTCATGCGATCCCTCAACCAAGTCCATGTAGGCGGGATTTTCAGCCCCCGAAGGAACTATAATTCACACCAGTCTCTGACTCTTTCCATATCTCTTCCCCTTTCCCAACAGGAGCTGCAACGAAAACTTCGACACGTGAGCTCGAATCTGAAGACGCTCGACTTACCCACCAACTTCAAGTTCTTCTTCCTAAAAACGGACCGGCATGGCCAGGAAAAGGCCAAGGGACAAATCCAAAAGTTTCTTAATGTAAGATTGATAGATCCTTTGACCTACCATCATCAAGCATCTATTGGAAATATGAGAATATAATTGTATATTTGTTGAAATAGTTCATTCTCGAGGACGATCATTTAAATGGCAGTGAGGCTATTTACACGTTCCTTAGTCCCAGCTCAGACCACCTGAAGCAGTCGCTGCCCTCGCCCAAAAAGTCAAAGTTCTCGCTCTCCACGCTGTTTAAGAGCGACGCTGCAAAGTCTCACGAGTCAAGCAAGGCGACAGATCCGTTCTGGGGCTTGCAGCGCGACGACGAGGACATCTCCACGTACCTGGACGGAGAGTCCGGCATTGATGCCAGTCGACTGATGGCCGACATAGACAGCAAGGACTCCATAGCAGAGCCCATGTACGCTCTTATGGGCGAGATATTCGACATGGGCGGCGTTTTCAAATGGCTGCGCAAGAGCATCATCTCCTTCGTGCAGATCACGTACGGTCGGACGATTAATCGACAGATCCGCGAATCGGTCACTTATCTCTTTGAGGAGTCCATGCTGCACAACTATTTCTCAGCCGTACTGAAATCTTTCTGGCCAGGCAGTGTCCTTGCCTCCGCATATCCTGCGCGCTCCGACGACATGCGCGAGATGACCAGCACAGCGGCGAAGGCTCTGCTCACCGACCATATACCCGAGGTGCTCTGCAATCTGGTGGGGGCCCAGGCGGCCAAGCGAGGCGTCCTCAAGGTCTTCGAGGCGCTCCAGAACCCCGCTTACAACAAGCAGCTCTTCTACGTAAGTAATTTCATGCATTTCCGGTACTGTCGGTCATCATTATCCTGCCGTTCTTCTAGGAACTACTGGAGATACTCATGATTGAGTTCTTCCCCGAAATCCGGCAGCTTCGAGTGAGCAATACTACAAGCAATGGTTCCAAACTGAACACAGCTACCGCAGGGGCTGCAGCTGTATCGGCTGCAGCAGCTTTAGCAGCCGCCACAGCAGGCGCCTCCCTGCCCCTGAACCATGGCAGTGGAAGTGGCAGCGGTCCGACCACCGCCTCTCAAAACCATCATCAGCAAACGTCGTCATCATCGACATCGTTGTCGTTGTCCTCGTCGTCTGCTTCAAGCAGCAGTCAAGCACAGTCCCATTATCATCATGGGTCCCATCATCACCAGCATCACCAGCAGCAGGGGCATTCGGCAAACTCAGGCAGCTCCAAGTAGACGCATACTCGTAATGTAATTTAAATTCAAATTTTTTTTTACTTTTATTTATTTTTGTTTTGTTTTGGGTTTTATGTTACCACTCTACCCTTGAGTAGCGTCGGATTATTTGGCCGCCCGCCTTTCTTTTATTTATTAATTTATTAAGTGTTAGGATTTTCATGATATTATGTTAATGCTCTCTATCTTTCTATTTGATGGAATGGATGCAGGCGGAGTAGCTGAATGGGGTAGTTATACGAAAAACGAGTATTTTGTACCCCAGTATCACCATCTTATTTTCAGTCCCCCCAATTCCATTGATTTTCATTTGTCGCTATATATTGTTGAAAGCATCATTTGTTTCGTTATGTGTATAGCATGTCTGTCTGTACATATGTATGTACATACCATTTATGTAGGTCAGTATTAAGCGTTGTACCAAATCGTTGTTTATAGTTAAATGGGACGCACTCAGCATGATCGATTGATTATAAATACTACATATGTGTAAGGTACGTTCGCGAACTATAAGACAGTTGTCGGCTAGCAAATTGAAATGACTTGTGTTGAATTAACTGACCAACTACCATCTAATAACTTATTCTCCTTATGATGATGCATCTTATTGATGATTAATCTGGCTTTAAATCTATTGATTAACCTGTAGTGGTATTTGGTATTCGATATTCGATATTCAAGCTTACGATAGAACACTAACTGTATACACTGTCTTTTAGATCCGACCACGTACTGTAGTCATTACCATCTAACCCAAGTGAGATAGATAGAAGCGTATCCCACACTTCAGTCCACCTCCATTCATGCTCTTTCTGCGTACAGACACGCGTATGCGTGGGTACAAGAATGCGTCTATTTATGTATTATGTATTGTAGTTGAACAGTTTTATGTGGAAATGTGTAATAAAAATTGCTATTTATGTATGTAGATTACCATTCTAGAGTATCTCCTCTCCTTGGCACTTCTAGAACACGGAAATCTTCTCCACCAGCTTGTTCAGCGGTACGGTTTGCATGTCCACCACAAGCACGACGAGATTCTTGCTCATGGTTTCTGGTTTCTTTATCAGCAGCTTCACCTCAAAATACTTCAGCAGAAAGCGCCACTTGAGCTCGGTTCTCGCACGCTCTGAGAGCCGCTGAAAGTCGTCCGCTTTGATGCCCATCAAGCGCTCGGCTACGTGGCCGCTTAGTCGGCTCTCGACCAACGTCCCCGTCTGATCGGACAACTGAATGTTAATGTTGATAAAACTTGAGTGTCTTGGCCCATTGGATTCCAGTGAAAACTCCAATTGACAGGCTTCACTGGCGCAGTCGCTTTGATTTCGGGGAACAAGGCGTTGACATTTTGTGCTAAAAGTGCAGCCATTAAGTAGACATATAAATATAGATTACAGACTAGAGATAAGGTCCAGCTCCAGCTAATCCTGGAAATGTCACTTGCCACTTCTTGCTGGTGTTCATGGAAAGTCCGTCAATGTCGAACTTGGTGACCATACAATAGATCACGGCCGTAAACTGATCGGTGATTGCATTGCCCAGCTCACCCTCGGCACGAGAGTAAATCTGCTTCGATGTCATCTGGGTTTGGATTTCGCAGGCTGTCGAAGAAAAAATTTAGAGCCAAATTCCGCTAGTTACGGATGCTATTCACCTGTCGGAAGATTCGCCAAGTCAGTTTGGACTGACTGGTCAAAGTTCTTTGGCAGCAGCACTGTGGCGGCAAACGAGAGTAGCGCAGCACAGTCGCCGCCGGCGGCCTGCGGATCGTCGTAGATAAGCGTACAGTTGGCGTGGTTCAGTACTGGGCAGCGATAGTAGTCCGAATAGGAGATACGCACATCGATCAGATGAAGGACGGTCTTTCGCGGCTGCCAGTGCTTGGCGCGACGTATCCACTCCGGCTGCCACAGGGAAAGCAACATTCCATCTGGACAGCTGGCATCGATCACGATCAGTTCGAGGCATTGGAGTGGCCCGTTGTCCTTTCCACAGCTTGGGGCAAGCTTGCGCTTCAACTCGCGCAATGGACGAATCGCGGCAACAACCACAAGTAGGTCCACATATGCATTGAGTAGCCTTTCCTGAAGCCCAGTGCCACAGCAAACGTCGACCAGATCAAGGGTAGAGCCAAGGGGCTTGTGCGGCTTGTGAATGAGCTGCTTCAGAGCCTCAGTTGTGGGTACGTCGTCGCTGTCGTGCCGCACAATATGACCGTATCCTTCGTTGATCGTTAGTGCGCACGAGAGAGTGGCTTGGGGCTGATAACGCGGCTCATGAGGTATGGAAAGCGACATCACCTTTGCTCCGACGATGTCCACGACGTCGCCAATGTGTAGCATGGCGTTATACTCATCCACGCATGACCTCTGACCCCAGCACTTGCAGTTGGTAATGTGGCTAATGGAGTCGCGTACCGTTAGGGTGATGACGCCGCGCTCGCTGCCACTGAACTTGTCCAAGAACCAGTTTGGCGACGATTTGGATATGATCAGGACAACGGCCGAATAGTTAGTCATGGTGGGCTGCATTTCAGCCAGTCGCAAGTATTTTGTCTTTTGACTTTTCGACATTTCTTTAACTGTTTGAGATGAGATCTAGAAAAGCCGTTACTGCATTATAAAATAGGAATGTTGTTATATCGATAGGCGTAAAACTGTATCCGATGTGATTGAGATGGTAGCCGATAGGCTTGAGGTTTATCATCTCCAATTAGCTGAAACACTCCTGTCCCTGCGGTTGATTGTCACTTCTCTTTTCCTGACCGATGTGAAAAACAAAAAGTGAACGCCATAGCCTATCTTAAACCCACCCACCAAAACATTAAAAAACATACCCACTAGAAGAACCATACACCTACAGACGAAGCCAGACGGAAGATAGCAGCCACCAGAGCTACAAGTTTCACAAACTGCACGCACAGTGAGAGAGCGCTGATAGAGTTAAATATGGTCAAGCTGTTTGCATTGAGTGTCTTCTTCAAAGGTGCCAGCGAAGCGCGTATACTAAAGACAGCATCCGACTTGCAGTCCTTCTCGTTTTTCCAACGTGGCACCGTCAATGAATTTATGACGTGAGTAATGTAATTCGTATTCGGACCATTGTGCCCAATCGCCACAGCGACGGCGCAATGCCCCCCTCCTCCCTTTATGACCTCCGCTTACGCACTACTATTTCTTCTCGTTTGGGTCGCGGCAGCTTCGCATCGAAAACGATTGTGGAACGCACACAGCCATCGCTTCGGCAATCTGTCAAGCAGGATGCCTACATGTGTCATGTCTATGTGCGGGCCGATAACCTGGCGGGAGTGCTCATTGCCGATCATGAGTATCCGCACCGAGTTGCTCACACACTTATTACAAAGATACTCGACGACTTCACGGCGAAAGTATCCGCCGACCAGTGGCCCAACGGTACGGAGGCCACCATATCGTTCGACGTACTGCCAGCTTTTTTGGCCAAATATCAGAATCCCGTAGAGGCCGATCCACTCACGAAAATGCAAAATGACTTGGACGAGACAACAATAATATTGAAGAACACAATTGGGGCTGTACTGGAGAGGGGCGAGAAGCTGGACGACATGGTCAGCAAATCGGAAAAGTTGTCCATACAGAGCAAGGCCTTCTACAAGACAGCGAAAAAGACGAATTCGTGCTGCAGCTTCACCTAAGCTCCCCTACACACACATCTCATTCCTCCTCTGACTTACACAGAATCAGGAATAACAGAAATAGGAGTCACTTGAAGTATAACACCAGCAAAATCACCAATTAATAATAATACTGAAAATGGAGGCGTTTCTATGGTTTTTATAAAATAATTATTAGTTAATTTCATATTCATATATGAACATATGTGTATGTGTGTACTATTTACGACTACTATATACTACATTAATGAATACGAACCTGTCCTGGCGGTCATGTGCCCTGCCCCTCTCCTCACCCCCGTTCTAATAAACATATGTACGATGTATAATCAATCGTATGGCTATTTGGGGCATCGATTGTTCTCGTCTTGTCTGTATGTACATATGTATGTTTATGCTATGAATTTAAAAATATGATGTTAATTATACCAATACAAATTATGATCTAAATCTATACATAGAATATTTCTGGGTTCTGCAACGGCTTCGAGCCCAACGATGATCCAACGCCCACGAGATGACCTTTCGCCGGAAACAATTTTGTTTTACCAAAGAATGCAATTATTGTATAATCTTTGGTTCTACTACCATCCACCACCTGGCTGATGCTTCATGGCGATTAAGCCGTGGATTATGTATCAAATTGGCCCATGAGTTTTTATACCTTCTACTTTGCTCCCCGCTGGCCATAATTGCTGGCCTAGTCAACGAAATTCTGAGAATTCCGTAATTTTTTCAACTATTCATAAAGCTGCAATCTAGCTATGCCCATTTATGGGAGAGCGGTGCTCAACTTCCCACATGTTGAATTTGGTAATTCTGTAATTGTGAGTAAGGAGCGAGTTGTATAAATGCACCATAGATTTTCCTGATTTTTAAGCTAATCAAATCGTTACTTGACCGAAGCGAGAGCCATATCAACCAGAACAATTAAAAAATAAGTTCTGAATTTATCTTCTGGTGTGAAGATTGTATACTCACCTCAATTGATAGTTAAAATAAAAAATAACTTCGAAGCTACTGTTGCCAGCCAAGTAGCCAAATATGCCGACAAATGGCGCCCTTAACCGAGCTAACATGAGACACAAGAAGTCTACAGGAAAGACAAAAAAGGAGACCACTAATTATGAAAGCAAATCATGAAGACTTAGGACTCTTGGCTATTTAAAAGGTTTCAAGTAATACGATGGGCAAACATACTTACCAAGTCACGGACCAATATTATCGCAATCAAATAACTTGTTTCATCGTCATGGTCTTAACGATTTCGAACGAATACGGATACACGTAAAACAGTACTATAAAATATGTTGCCAGAATTTGTCTTATTCGGGGAAGCAACGCTGCCACGCCCCAAATTTGTTGAAAAGAACCATCGTAATAAAAGTAGTACATACTCGTAATTAACATTATTATTTATTTTCAGATACAACTGAAATGAGGGCGTGGGGGACTGTGACATTTTGTCGGATCTAATCTAATACTCTGAGCACACAATGGTACGCATGGTATACACGTACATATGTACATGTGTTATATGTATGTACGTATATGTACCCATGTGGTCTATTTCCAGATGAAATTCCTGTAAATATCGGTCTCCAGATTAGTTTTTGCATGTTTGAGAGCCAAGGGTTGTTAAGGGTAAAATTAAGGGTGAAGTTCACATTCATCCATTGATTCTTAAACTCTATCCATTGATAGAGTCTAGACTGCCTACGTGCTTCTCGTTTTGACTCCGTGTTTGCTACTTGTATAAGTTATGCGGTGCAGTAGTCAAGGGGTTTAAAGAGGGCTGGTCTCCACACAGAATTACTTAAAATGCAAAACAAGTCAAAGAGATAACCCAGGAGCGATTTGGAATGAAGAGCATTTATAGACGGCTCACACGTAACGGCCATCTCGAACGTGTTTTATAAACAAGTAACATGTTAAACAGAGAAACAGAGAAACGTACATAAATGCCAGGCCAGACCAGATGGAACCTTTTCATGGACGTTCAAACAAAGTACCAACAAGTAAAATAAATACACTAACCCTATGCAAACAGATAAATATCGACATGGTACTGAATAGCTATGCTGGAAGATCGGCTCTGGGTCCCGCTCCAGGTCCAGCTCCTTCATTTCTATTCCCCAGGGGATCAGCACCGTCGCTTTCGATAAAGAGCCGCATAAATTGACTGCAGCGGATTTTGTAGTCCGGCCAGGACTTGGACTCGCTACTCCGCAGAAGAATACGACCAAAGGTGACAGCTGCGCAAGGGAAGGGAAAACAGAGAAATCGAACGGTCAGATCAAATAGAAGAAGTACTGAATAATCAAAGACGCACCGACTTGATGCAGATCGTAGTACTGGCACTCGATGCCCTCGCGCAAGAACATGCATAAGTGCATAAAGACATTGCGTTTCGGCGGACTGAGCAGGGCTATGTAGTCCATGGCCTTTGACTTGCCAGTGCTTGCCAGCAGATCCTCGACAAATGGCTCCAGCAGCGGCCGCTCCGGCAGGTCCAGCAGAAGCAGCAACGCCTGTGCAGCGCATTGTGGAGTTCCAGCTGGAGTCGTAAATCAGATGTCAGCCAGGTGTAGATACACACAGATCAGTAGCACTTACGAAACTCTTCGTCGGACCAGGTGTCGAGCCAGTCGCGCACCACATTGAAGTGTGTGTTCAGAGATTTCCGCGACTCGAAAGTGTGAAATCCCCCCTCCAGCTTGGATCCATGCTTGTGCAAGTAGTCGATCAGCAGAAAAAACTCGCGTGGCATCGTCACACAATATTCCTGCGAGTTATCATTCATCTGCGTGGCCATAGAAAGAAGATAACTCAACGCTTTGGCACCACCCTTCCGCACCTAAGACTAAGGACTCACCAGATACTTGATCTGCTCCTGTGAGTATTCGCTAAGCGGGCGATCAGTGCGACACATCGTTTCCATGGAGAGGCCAAAGCAGCTGGGCTGATAGTCACCCGTGACTGTAATGAAGATGTCGCGTCCGTTCTCCACGTGCAGGATGAGGATGTCGAAGTTGTCGCTAGTGCGGATCTTTTTGAGTAGACCCCTGATCGTGTGCACGTCTGCGAGCATCTTAATGCGAATGCTGCGCGCCGAGTCGATCATCAGGCTGTCCTTTCGCGGATCCACCTGCAGCCACTTCTCGCATATGTCGTGGATGTCCTTCTCCTTGAAGCTGAAGTCGACCGGCAGTGGGCAGCTGTTGTACACGTTGAAGTCCCGCATGCACGGCTCGTTGAAGCGCACCCGTCCGAAGTCGATGACAGTCTTTTCCACGCTGATCTGTGGCTGGTTGTCGTTCTCACGCTTGTCCACCGCCTTCAGTACCTCCTCTTGCACGCGCTTGTACTTGATTTCGTCGCGAGTTTTGATCTTGACCCGGAACACGGCATATACGGGTTTGTGGTCGCTCTGTCGTATGTCCATGATGCTGTTGTAGGCCAGCTGCTCGATCCGCGTGCCCTTCCACAGAACGCGGTCACAGTATGCGGGCGCTCGCTGCTTTTCGCTGCTGTCATAATTGTCCGTTCCCGGATCGTACTTGTACGTGGGCCGAAACTTAATCTCGCCCTCCGTGTATCCCTCGAAGCATTTGCCTTTGCGCATCTCCTGGCGCAGCTGGTCGTACTGTAGGAGCAGCTCGTACGTCTGGGCATCCGTCAGCGGACCGGGTCGCTGCTGCCCGGGCGGCTCCTGTATGCGATAGTTCAAGTCCCCTAGCCAGAAGATGTGGCTGCAAGAGTAGCAAAGGTGTAACTCAAGTGTGAGTATCAGTGTACTCATAGTCATGTCATCCCTTACTCGTGATCGCTGATAGTGCGGCCATCGTCGAAACGCAGCCCATCCACTATTGCATTATAGTCCTGGTTGCGCTCCTCCACGTAGCCCATATGGGCAGCCAGATGGGAGTTAACAAAGCAAATGTTTCCCTCGTTCAACTGTAAACTGATGGCCACTCCGCCCTTGTTACCCAGCGTGTTTAGAACGCCCCGTGCCACTGACTTGAAGCGGCAGCGCAGAATGTGCTGGCGCAACTGCTTGCGCACGATCACCGTCAGCATGATTCCCACCAGACGGTGGTACTGCAGGATCTCGTACTCGACATCTGGATGGACACTCTGCACCATTTTTTCGCTGAAAATTCGAGAAATGCGCCAAATGAGCAATAAATATTGCTGTATCGCTGGATATGGGACATGACACTTACTTCCACTGGGCTACACTAGCCTGGACCTGAGTGGAGTTAAGCATGGCCTTGGCGGGAGTGTCCAGCTCCTGCAAGCCAATGGCATAGATGTCAGGAGCCCGCTCGCTGCATCCCAACCACGATCGTAGGGCGTCGGCGCTGTCGCAGCAAGGTTTGTTGTTCACGTTCCAAGTGGCGCAATAGATGCTGCAAAACAAAAATAGAAAGGAGGGATATGGGTCAATGGATCAAAGGTGTTGGGTTGGATTTTTACTCACATAATATCTTTGTAGACAATGTACTCGCTCTCGCGCTTCTTCAGCTCTTGCTTGACCTCGCCGATTTGGCGGTAGTCGTTCAGCCATCTGAAGTTGAGCACCGTTTCGGGATCGCTTTGGGCCATGGAACTCTTGCAGGAAATGATCTTGGCCACGAACTCGTCATAGTTGGCGCTCTCACTTGGATAGAAGTAGTACTTGATGGGTCCGTCCTCGGCCGTGGACAGGTCGAACTGGTACGCTGTGATCGATCCCTTGCAATCTGAGAGTAACAGAATCACCCCCCCCCCACCACCAACATTATTATCTCAATTAATTGTTATAGTCTGCATCTCACCCTGCCGCAGCTGAAAACTCTCGTCGATGGCAAACACTTTGTTGATAATCAACTCATTAACTGATGTGAGCGGCGTGCGCACGAAGGAGAACGAGATGATAGCAAACGTCCCGCCGGACTCCGACGAAACTAGCGCCAGCAGCCGATTGGCGTCCTCGGGTCCCTTGATCTGATACGCCTCAAATAGCTGGAACATAAAATAAAAATTTCCTTTCATTTACAGAGCTTTTGCCTTTCCACGCTGCTCAAGGCCGGCTGGCCTTTGGCTCCGATAACCGCCTAGCCAGATCAGATTCTCACACATATTCAATAAAACTTGAGGTAGTTCATTTTTTATAAAAGACTTCTCTGCCACATGAGTGGCATAAACATTCCATCTCATAAGTGGGAGCGGAGTGAGTTATCTTTGGGAGAGGAGGAGGAACTGGAACCTGTCTTTCGTCACTGACTGGATAGCACGACCACGTAAAGTAAGCCCCGTGCCATCTAACCGATAATTATTCATTCGTCACTGGAGATATTGTTTGTGTTTGTTTTGACGTTTTTTTTTTTTTTTTTTTGGTTATGTTGGTTTGCGTTAGCTTACATAGAGAATTATTTCGTCTTCTTTGAAGCGCTCCCTGACTATTTCAAGGCTCGACTTGACGTCTGTCAGTCCATTCGGGACGTGGTCGCCCACACTTTCCATTGCCAGGAATATTGATTGATACTTTGGTTCGTTCCCTTGTTTTTGATGTGGATCCAGGTCCAGGTGGTTTTGCCGTTTTTGTTCGATTTCTTAATCTCCCAATGCAGAAGAATACTTGGCTTCTTTGCTGTGCTGTACTCTGTTGTGGCAATTGCTTCGATATGGATAGTTGTTTGCTTTTCTATTTTTAGTTGGCGCGCCCGCCAGCCGCAGCAGCGAAAAGTGACAACGACGACGAGCGTATAGCGTATGGGATTGGAATTTCGATGCGAAATGGGCGTGTTGCGTTTCTTCCGATTACAAGGGCGAACTTGAGGACTCTGGCCCTGGCCTGACCCTGCTCTTGCTTGAACCGTTGCCGCTTGTTCCTTTCTTGTTTGGTTTATCGTTCTTAGTGTTGCTGCTGCTGGTTCGGGGCTCTCATTTTCCGTCAAGGCGGGCGGGTGCGGGAGACGTGTATATCACAGACTGGACGCTGTTTCTCACACACACACATGGACACGGGCAATAAGCCACTTATTCATCGGCGATGACGATAATTACTGAATTGTTCGGCTATCGCGATTTCATGTCGGTCACTGGCTCACATAAGCATAAATATGTGTGTTGTGTCATTAATTAAGTTATTACTTATTATTCTTTCATTCGACCAAGACCTGCGACGTGCTAGTCTGGTCGATGTGGTGGAGGGGGGGCTGTGGTAGCAGCTGAAATTGCTTAGCGTTGCCAGATCCAAGCAGCCACTCTGCAGACGTTTGACAGCACTGACCCATCAGCTGTTGTTCTAGTATCCAGTAATATTCACTTCACTTCGGACAGGGGACAGAAAGTGGTTAGTAAGCATGGCACAATTCGAAAAAGAAATCGTCCAGGCGGTACTCATAGCCGACAACAATGTTTGGAACTTCAAGCCGCTCTCCGACGAAGGCTCCACGGTAGCTATTGAACCACCCCACCCCCGGCCCGGCAACGTTTATAGCTTGCCTCTTTTCTCTCCTTGCAGGCCTTGCTGCCCTTGGTCAACGTGAGCATGCTGGACTATGCATTGATAGCACTGAATCGCAGCGGAGTCGAGGAGGTCTTCGTCTATGCAAGCCTTTATCTGCAGGAAATACGCGACCACATCAAGTAAACCAATCATTTAGGCACTTTATGCTCAATTGTTTTTAATATATTATATACGCAGAGAAGGGATTGCCACGTATGCCTCCTGGTCCTTCAAAATGACTGTGAACATGATTGGAGGTGAGGGGTGTCGTTGTTTCGGCGACGCCATGCGAGATCTCGACGCCAAGGCCCTGATCAGGGGAAATTTTATTCTCATGGGCGCCGATACCGTCACCAATGCAGATTTACGGCCGGTTCTGGAGCAGCATAAGCGGATGGCAAAGTTTGACAAGGGGACAGCCGCCACCCTGGTGTTTAAGGAGTGCGCCATCAACGTCCGCACCGGCAACGAACTGCTCATTGCTGTCGACAAGCAAAACTCCCGCCTCCACTACCACCAGCGGCTTCGAATGAACCATAAGGAGCCTCGGTACCATATTCCCCTTGATGTATTCCTTGGCAACTCCTGCGTCGCGTTGCACCACAACCTCCTGGATCCGCAGATCGCGATCGGCTCGCCTTCGATGCTGTCGCTATTTAGCGATAACTTTGACTTCCAGACACGCGACGATTTCGTGCGGGGCCTTCTCATCAACGAGGAGTTGCTGGACAGCCGCATCTACGTATCCCTTCTGCCGGCCGCCCAGTACGCGCACAAAGTGAACAACTGGCCCTCGTACCAATTGGTAAGCCGAGACATCATCAACCGCTGGGCCTACCCGCTCGTTCCCGACATGGGCGTTTACAAGCTGCACCAGCAGTACGTGTTCCACAAGGACAACATCTACAAAAGCAACGAGGCGCACGTGTCTAAAAAGGCGCTGCGTGAGAATGTGGTGATTCAGGCGGGCAGCCACGTAGATGCCGGCTCTGTGATCAGGGACACCGTCATTGGGGAAAACTGTCGCATCGGAAAGAACTGCCAACTGAGCAATGTGTTCCTAATGGCCAACGTGACCATCCAAGACAATTGCCGGCTGGAGCACTGTGTGGTTGGAGACCATGCCGTCATCGAAGCCGAATGCAACGTCAGCGCGGGTTGTGTCGTAGGCGCCAAATGCGTGCTGCCAAGTAAAACGAAGCTAGCCAAGACCCTGGTCACAAGCACACCGAAAACACAGCATAGGGCGGAGCAAGAGCCGGAACAGGATTACGAGATAGTGGAACTTGAGGCGATTGGACCGCAGGCGTACATCGTCAGCGATATAACCACGGGGGATCCCGACGACTCGGATGGTGAGGAGCTGCTGCCCCAGCAGACGCTCTCCATACCCAAAATGGGTGACCTGATGGCGCAACTGGACGACATCAGCTATTGCAGCGACCTCAGCGACGAGGACGACGATGAAGGGTCGCGAGCTGTCACGCCCTTGCCCGACGACACCAACAGTGAGATGCACCTGGATGCAAATTGCAGCTAGACCTGAATTTAATTGCATTCTATTTCAGTTTTCCTCAGCGAGGTGATCGATTCGCTGTCACGCGGCTTCAGGGAGCGGTCGAATCCGGACTTCCTTATATTGGAGATAAACTCCTCGCGCTACGCCTACAACATGTCCCTTAAGGAGGTTAACTTTAATGTAGTCAAGGCCGTGTTTAGCATGCAGCACATTGTCGAGCCGGCCAACAACAATGTGCTGGCAGCCATCGGCGCCGCCTTCAAGCAGCTGGGACCCGTTGTATCCAACTACATCAAGAGCGAGGAAGCCATGATGGACTGCTTGAAAGCCCTGGAGGTGCGTGCGATATTCCGCGGAACATCTTCGAGTGACATTTATGAGTAATTAATTATGATGAGTAATTGCTTTCAGGACGTGTATGAGGAGAATCCGTTGGCACGGGAGAAGATCTCGCAGATTGTCCACTACCTATACGACAAGGACTTTGTTTCGGAGGATGCCATCCAGGTGTGGTATAGCCAGCTCGGTGGCGAGGAGCATGTCCAGCTGCGCCATAGCCTCTTCAAGCTGGTCGATTGGCTGAACCAGTCCAGCGAAGAGGATGACAACGACGAGGCATTGGATGAGGATGATCAGTAAATAAAACAAAGACTTTGCCACTATTCTGTTACAGCTTTTATTGCAACGCGTTCTTGACATTTTCCTTGGAGATATCTTGTTGTTGATATTCCCGTCTTCCTTTTTATTAACCTAGTTCGCGACCATAAAAATAGTCCATTGAAAAAAAGAAACTTAAAAAAAAAAACGCGACACCAAAATCGCATTTTATTTTGGATTATTTTTCTACTTCTCGTAAATGAATTCATCGTGGAAGTCAGAGTTTCCTTCCTCTAAGTTCAGCCGCTCTACGCCGACCATATCAATCTCCTCCTGCCCCTCCTCATCATCATCATCGGACTCCTTTACCGATTCGATTGTTATCTGCGAGTCGTCGGTGACAGCAGGATTCGGCGACTGTGGGTCCTCCTCTCGCTGCTGCTGCTCTGCATTGTCTGTTTCGGCCTCGTCCGAGTCAATTTTCTCCTCATCTTCGACGTCGCCTTCGCCATCGCCTTCTGCCTGCTGTCTTCCACTGTCCACCTCCATGAGCTCAGACTTGTCTTCCTGCGGCCGCGGCTTTGTCTCCTTTTCAGCTTCTTTGATGTCATCAGCAGCTCTATTATTTGGAGCCTTGTTAGAAGCATCCACATCGACTGGCTTCTTTTTCCCATCCCCCTTCTCTGTGCACTTTGAGGTATCGCCAGCACCATCAGCATCAGCATCATTTTCCTCATCGGTCTCTTCCTGTTTCGGTGTCTTCGGCGACTTGACATCTTCGGCAGCGTTAGCAGCAGCGGCCCGGCTGTGCTTGCGCTTCTCGAGATTCCGAGTGATGTCCAAGGCAATGAACTCCAGGCGCAATTGAACGCTCTTGTGGAATACCTCCATGTTATCGCCGCTTACAAGGTTGGTGCGCACCTCTTCCATGCATCCCTCGAGCACCTGCCTGACCTCGCCCACAGGGCAGTCCCCGCCCAGGTTCTGCGTGACCATCAGCAGCGTGGTCAGGTTCTTTAGCAGCGTTACCATGCGCTCATTCTTCACCAGACCCTTATTCATCTCGTCCACAGTTTGGTTCGCCTTGGCCCGGCACTCCTCGCGCAGGTACGTGGGCGAGATCATAGCCTGGACGTTGGGATTTCGCGTCAGGGTGGAGGAGAGCTCCTGCACTTTGGTGAGCTCATACATGAGGTCGGTATTGATGCGCTCAATGGAGACGATGTTGTAGGCGTACTGGCGCTGGAAGTTGTCGGCGATGTGGCGCCGGTGGCGCTCTCCGGTCTCGTCATGGCCGATCATGTCGCCCATGGCTAGCTCCGCGGTGGAGTTCATCTTGTTTAGGCGGTGGATGCGCTCGGCCTTTACCAAGATATGCTTTTCCAAGTGCACAAGATGCTCCAGCAGCTTGTTCGAGTAGTTGTGAACTCGGGTCAGCTGCGGCCGTATCGGGCTCTCCCCGATGGCGTCCTGCCCGAGCAGTGGATCACTCTTGTTCAGTTTCATGCTTAGAGCGTTCCTTGCCGCCGCATTATTGCTGGCCAGGTGTTTCTGAGGGGCAAACAGTCCTGCGCCTGCCTTTTTCCCATTACCGGAGGGACGCTTCTGCAGATAGGTGCTGGTGAGGCTGGCCGTGTAGCCCAGGTTGGTGGTGAAGCCCATGTTGTTAGTCTGGTAGATGCTCATCAGGTTGGGACGGAAGTCCTTGGTGAAGCTGTGCAGTGGTAGCATCTCGTGAAAGTTCTCCGACACAATCTCAAAGTCCGGTATGGCGTGGGTCCCCAGGCCGGGCCGCTCGAACGTCACCCGGTACATGGCGTTCAGCGAGTCGTAGGCGGCGACAGTGCCAGCGAAGATGCCGTCTTGGGGTGTGCGCAGCCGAGACGTCACCTTGGTGCCCAGCGGCAGTGGCATGGGGATCTTCTCAGGCATATCCGACAGCAGAACGGAGTCCTTGAGCTCGCCCGGCTTCCGCGACTGGAGAGTGCGCATAAGCTTTCGTTTCCTGTCTAGCTCTTTCCGCTCCTCGCTGAAGAAGTTGGCTGAGCAGCGCCTGGGCTTTCCCATCTGGCGCCTTATGGTCGACCACTCGTGTCGGTTGAGTTGGCGCGTTCCCAGGCGCGGATCCAGCTCGTTTACGTGGTTCAGGAACTCGTCACGGCTGTCGAAAAGCGGCCTGTCTATGTACGAGTAGAACCACTCGGCGATGGCCCACTTGTGGGCCTTGGGCAGCTTCAGCAGGTTGCGCAGGCGGAGCCCGATCGCCTGGCCCACCCGCTTGTTGGCCACCAACAGGGCCTGAGCGTGGCTGGCCTCCTCCTCAGCAGCGGCAGCGGCTGCAGATGCGGCGGTCGACACCTTCGTTCCTCCAGAGGCTGCTCCACTGCTGATCTTGGCCGACCTGTGGCCGGATTGGTTCGTTTTGGATGTAGTCTGTGCATGCCTGACAGCCTGACCCTTGGCTGGCGTCTTCTTGTTCTTGTTGCTAGCTGCCGTCACCTGATGCTGGCTGCCGACTGAGGTGGAGCTGGATCCATTATCGCTGGAGCGCATGTAGCGGGAGACAACGCCCTTGCGTTTCTTGAGCACCTTGGCGGGGGTGGTGTTGTGCACCTTGCCCGAGCAGCCGCTGCCAGGACCACCAGCAGGCAGGGGCGGGCGACCGGGCATCTTCTTAGGGGCAAGGCTCATGCGCAACGGTTTGTCGTCGTTGATAATGTTCTCGTCGTAGAAGAGTTTGTTTCTCTTGCGAATTCGCGCGGGCATTCCACGGGCATTCAGCGTCAGAATGGGAGCCTTCGTTACCTTCGGCTTAGGTGGTGGGGCGCTGCCCACGCGCTGCAGTCCCAGTGTGGCCAGACTGAAGGCCGGCGGCTCCACTTGCTCTTCCGGATCGCTGTTTTCGTTGCTGTCCGGCTCATCGTCCTCGTCCTGTTCGGGGTCGGCTTCATGCTCGGCTGTAGCTGTCCTTTCGCCTGCATTCGCAACGACATCAGCAGCCCCGTCATCCTTTTTCCGCTCATGGTCGCTCTTGCTGTCATCGTCTAGATCCATTGGCTTAGCGGTGGCCTCCTCATCGCTCGATTTCTTCCTTGCGACAGATGCAGATGCAGCAGCAGCAGTGGCTGCTGTCTTCCTGCCCTTGCCTTTGGTAGCTTCTGCAACGGGCATTTTCACTGGGCGAGTACAAGCTACAAGGAGCAGAGAAAACACATCACATAAGTTGAAGATTGATCAAAAAATATTTAAGGTAAAAGTAGTGAGTGATATCGGAACACTCGGAAGGTTCTGTGGCCATTGAACCTTTGGGGTCGTATCACTCGTAGAGGAAACAGGTAAATAGTGTTCGTGCAACAGTGCAGTATAAAATTACATTGGGAACAAATTCCGTTCGAATTTTCCTAGGAAGCTTTATGGCACGGACGCGCGGGGTACCTCGCTTCACTCTTTTTGGCTATCCTTTTGGCTAGCCTTTGACAGTGGCGACGTCGTTGGCAGTGGCAGTGTCCGTTTTGGTGTTGTCCGCAACATTCGCATGTTCGCATGTTGCAGTGCGTTTGTGTGCGTAGACAGCAGGCGAAGCGAAACGAAAGAAAACACGACGAAGCAATGCTTTTGTATTGGTCCCGATGGTCCCATGGTCCCATGGTCCGAATTGTGTACCGACTTCTCGTGAAGACTTGTCCCAAAAAAGTAGCTACATCGATTCATTAAAACTGAGTGTGCCAATACTTTTGTTTGCCTAGGTATAACCGGTACTTTTGTGTGTGTGGCACCCAAAAGGAAGCATTTCCGACCCCATCAAGTATATACATACACTATCATCATCAATAGCCGAGTGAGATATACATATGTAGCTCCGAGTATGTGTACATACATATGTATGCATGTACACATATCTGCCCGTCTTTTTTAACACCTAGTTCTCAGAGTCAATGCCCAGCGGGAAAGAGTCCGGCTCTCCGTTAAGCTATTGATGTAGGAAGCAATGCTTTTCGGCAGTTTTGTGTCCGTTGACTAAATTACCGCCGCTCAAGTGATTGCTTTTTTGTTCACAATAAAGAGCATCGTGGACGCGCCTGCTAGGATATGCGGAAATGCCCATAAAAAAACGAGAGGAAACGCTATGCGTTCCAGAGCGCCAGAGTGCGCTGGAATGGGGTGGATCAGCAACTTAAAATTAATTTCTTTATTCTGGCAGAACAATTATCCAATCCTCAATCTGGTAAATATTGTTATTCTCTACAAATTTGTGAAATGGCAGTAGCAGTGTGGATATCATATGATCCTGGAAACAAAATTGGTTTGTCTAGCTCTATTAGTCTCTGAAAACTAGGCGAAAAACAAGACGGACGGACGGACAGACAGACATGGCTATATCGACTCGGCTATTGGTGCTGATCAAGAATATATATACTTTATGGGGTCGGAAACGTTTCCTTCTCTGCGTTGCACACATCCACTTTTACCACAAATCTAATATACCCCTTAACTCTTTTTGAGTACGGCTGTAAAAATTAAATCTATCAGAAAAAGTCAGTTTTGTTCGAAGCGTGAATAAAAAGTTAAATTTTGTCGATTATTGTAATTTTGCGAAAAGTAGGGCAAGATAAAGATTGTAATTTTGTTAAATGTACAATAAAGTTTTTAACACATACATTTTCAAATAAAAAATTCGTTTTACCTCGTGACCTAATACCAATATTATTAATCCATAAAGCTCACACAAAACCCTCTTTCTTAATGATAAAGTATCTGACTTTAGGTGGGGCACCAATTTTTTGTTTGCACCGGGGCCCTTTCCTCCCTAGCTACGCCACTGCCTATATCCATCAGTCTGGCCCTTTACCAAACAGCAATACTATAAGGAAAGAGAGAGAGAGAGAGAGATAGTTTCACTGTGGCGACACTCACAACGCACCAACTGGTTTTAGATATTTTTTCGTTAAAAAAACTAACAAACACTAATGCTGAAAAATCAGCAAATTTGTTTCGCAGACTCTGAAATGACTTAAGTTTAGAGTATAAACATACTACGGAGTTCGTGCTTCTGGGGACGCGACTATACTTATACCCGTACTCAGTCAGTATATACATTGTTGAGACTATGATTTTTTAGAATTTTAGAAAAAAAAAAATTTTACATTTTAAATTTTTTTTGCTACATCTGCTATCTACATCTACATATACAATGTATATTCCACATCTAACATGTAGATTGTACATGTTCCATTTAGATTCTACATCACCTCCGCTAGGGGTTGCTCGCGCACTGAACGCGGCAGAGTGTGCGAGCGAGAAAGAGATAGATAGCGGATCTTTTGCAGGAGGGGGCGGAAGAACCAACGGAAAATTAATTTCTTCATTCTGGCTATAATTATGATCCGATCTAATTCAGATTCGGCAATCTGGTAGATATGGGCATTCTCTACGATACTGCGTTTTTAGTTTTAGCGTATCTTGGAAATTGTGGCTGCCACAGATTTTCGTGTATTTGAAATACACTTGTAGCAGTGTGATATCACATGAGTCTGGAAACAAAATTTGGTTCCTCTAGCTTTTATAGTCTCTGAGATCCAGGCGTCAAACAAGACGGACGGACGGACAGACAGACATGGCTATATCGACTCGGCTATTGATGCTGATCAAGAATTTATGTACTTTATGGGGTCGGAAACGTTTCCTTCTCTGCGTTACACACATCCACTTTTAACACAAATCTAATATACCCCTTAACTCTTTTTTGAGTATAATTATAATTATATAATTACGATGCCTCTTAAGTTCAGTCCGCTTTGATGGAACGACAAAGCTAAGACGCAGATCTTACTGACAAACCACAGCAAACTCCGGGCTTTAGTATGTACATACATATGTATGTATGTATGTATGTATGTATGTATGTCACACTGATGGGTCGCAAGGGTATTTGAAAATTCGATGGAATTGACGTAAAGTTGTTCCTATAATTAGCAGAAACTTTGAGATGGTTCAATGGGAATGATTGGAATATCAACTGTTTGCTCATGTTTGACTTTATTTGTTGTATGCTCGTACTCGTACATAATTCGTTTAAGTTGCTTCATTTCGTTTCATTTTATTGCGTAATACTTTGATTGAAGGACCTTGTATGTAAGTATGCAGATATATATGTATGTATGTATGGAATTCCCAATTGAAGCACAAGTACAATACATTCATCGAATACACATACATACATTCAGGTATTAGATACATATATAAAGTTTGCATACATTGCAATTTCCTTTTTATAATAACGTATGTACATACATACACAAATATGTATGTATGTGTTTATATGATAAATAGTTTCTTGGATCTATTTCGCTCGGAAATTCGTTGGTTCCTTTAGAAATCTCTTTCTCCCAACACATTTCGGAGGCCTTTTCCGAGTAGGCTTCAAAATAACGGATGCCTGTGTGTGTTGTATGCTTGAGTTCGATTTTTAAACAGAATTCTCTGTACAATTTCCACAGAATTAAAAAAAACAAACGGCTTTTACATAAAAACATACACCTAAGCCGAGTTACATCGAAAAACAAAGTAATAATAATAGTTACAATTATGATAGCAATTAAAAAAAAAAAACGAAAAAGAACGTGTGCTTCGCTTCTTTGGACGCGACTCTTCTTTTATACCCGTACTCAGTCAGTATATAAATTTGTGAGCTTATGATTTATGTAGAATTTTAAAATTTTTGCTAAATCTGTTATCTAAATCCACATTTACAATGTCGATTACACATCTAACATGTAGATTATACATCTACAATGTAAATTCTACATCTTCCCTGCGAAAGGTCGCGGCACTGCATAGGGCGGAGTGTGTGCGAGCGAGAAAGAGAATGAGTAGCGTCAGCAGCGCTGGAGGAGGTGGGGGAAGCAACTGCAAATTAATTTTTTTACTCTGGCTATAATAATGATCCAATCTGATTCAGATTCGGCAAAATTTGGTTTCTCTAGCTCTTCCAGTCTCTGAGAACTAGGCGCTCATCAAGACGGACAGACGGACGGACAGACAGACATGGCTATATCGACTCGTCTATTGGTGCTGATCAAGAATATATATACCTTATGGTGTCGGAAACGTTTCCTTCTCTGCGTTGCACACATCCACTTTTACCACAAATACAATATACCCCTTAACTCTTTTTGAGTACGGGTATAAAAACACGACTCTATATTCTAGTTATTTAGTGGTTTTTTGTGTTTTTTTTTTGTAACTTTTCGTAACGTTTTGCAATACATTTGTTTAGGTTCTTTAGATATATATATATATAACAATACATTATGTATAACAAATATGAATAGTAATAATAATAGTAGCGTACAATACATAGTAATAGTAATAATAATAATAGTTTTTAATCATAATAACAGCTTTTCGTTCTTTGTTTTACAAGGTTTTTCTACTCTTTTTTTCTTATTCTTTTCTTTTTGTTGTTGTTGTTGTGTTGCGTGGTTTTACATGTGTTTGTATACATGTGTGTGTAGATCGGTACGATAGTAATGTTTGCTGACTTTAATAATATTTGGATATCATATTTTCTCTGTAGGTAAGTTACATCAAACAGAAACTGGAACAGGAGGTAAAACACTTTCAGGAACAGAACACACAGACACAGGGCTGTGCATTGGTGTGAATGAGCGAATCAGCGAATCCGGTAAAATATATATGTAGCTCTAGAGATAAAATTAGCAAAGGATACATACTGGGGTATGCAGGGGGCATACGATACGCACACGATATACAATACACGGGCTCACTGCCACACACTGGCGCAGGGAAAACATTAGAAGGTACATTAAAATCGTCTAATACATACATTAAAATACACACAGAAACAGAATATATAGATCGAATATACATATATACGTAGGATAGATATATAAATAAATAACAAAATTAATTTTGAGTTATCGCATTGATTTTGTTTTCCTTTTCCTTTCTCGCCTTTCCAGGCTGCATTTGCAGAAACATAATCCTTAGTTAAATTGGCTTCATTTCATTCCATTCATAATAATTATTGTTGTGTAGTTGTTTCGCATCGCAGTAGCTTTTGAAGCCCGCGTTGATTGCCTGTTCAAATACATCCGTCATGTCACCCCTGCTCACCCCTGCAGTACCAAAATGACAGACCGATTTAGACATTGCGTCCCTAGACATTGAACCGCGTCTCGGAACCGTCAGCCAACATGAGGGTGACTGTCCGATTGTTAATCCAGACGAGCTTGGCCAGCCGCATGGGGTTGAGACGCGAAACGTCCGGAATGGGGGCCGTGGAGTAGCCCTTAGTACAACGCGTCTGCGACTGTCCCAGCCCGAACATGCCGGTGCTCGTCTGCCAGAAGGAAAGCCGATTCTCAGCGCACGAGTAGGAGACGAGGTACTTGCCGTCGGGCGAAAATGCCAACGAGGTGATGGGGTGCGTGTGAGCGGGGATCATCTGGCACTTGTTCTGGCGCAGCTCGTAGATGGCCAGGTTGCCACTGTTGGCGCCGACGGCGATGCGTCGGGTCTGAGAGCAATGGGAGATCTGGTTGAACTTGCAGATCGCCGGGCACAGCTCGGCTAGGCCGCGGACCTTCAGCTCGTTGCTGTCTACGCAGTGCAGTGCGATGTCCATGACCTCTACCAGCAGGCTAGCGATCTCCGACTGCATCTTGTCGATCAGCATCTCCACGCACTGCAGGATCTCGCCCTTGGCCTTGTACAGGACCGACTGCGTCAGGGGAGCGTTGATGGACTGCGCGTTCTGCTGCATCGTGTTGTACCTGGCCACCTCCCGGGCCATGGTGGTGATGAAGGCCGCCGGTCGGGCGGTGGCTATCAGGCGCAATGCATGCCGGGCCGTGCGGCAGGCGTCCGCCTGTGGAGTCAGCGGAAGCTTGTAATTCAGGTTGGGAACAGCTTTTCCCTCGCACGAGATCTCCAGCAAGCCGAGCAGCACCTTGGACACGTCCAGGTATGGTTCCCACACCGTGAAGCCCCTGCCCAGCAGGTCGATGGCCGCTCGACGAAGGGGCGTGTACTGCGGCAGCTTCGGCGAGGGCGGCGCATAGAGTAGGTGTGCCAAGGCCATCGAAGTGAGCCTGGCTAGGTTATTGGCTATGCCGAAGCCCTCCACCACGGACGATATGCGCCGCTCTCCGCTCTGTCCGCCTTGTCCGCTCGGTCCGGTTGACCCAGTGGCGAGGCTAATGCTCCCGCGGTGGTTGGGTGACTCTTGTGAGATGTCCTGCCCGAACTCTGCTCCGATCACGCCCAGCAGGATGACGGCCGTGGTTTGTTTCCGCTTCAGCTCCGACAGGCTGGACGGCTTGCGTATGATCTCCTCTTCCTCCTCCTCATAGTCCTCATCCTGATGCTGTTCCGCGCCTGACATTCCTCCCCCACCAGCACCCGTAGCTGAACCACCAATTGATTGGGCGCCGTTGCTGCCACTGCCTCCTACCCCACCGCCACTGCCATGGGATCCGGCCGAACTCTGGCTAAGAAGCGCCAGCTGCTGCTGGGCTCCCACGATGGGCTCTGTGTGGGTGTAGAGGGGCAGGTACTGTGCCCAGCTCTCGACCAGCTGCTTTCGCCCTTTCTTGCCCATGCGGGTGAGCTCACCGAGCAGGATCTGCTGGGCAGCCTCGCGGATTTCGATGCAGTGATGCTGCCATCGCTTCACCATCATCTCCACCTGGGGTCGCTTAAACTTCTTCGGCTCGAGGGCCTCAATTTTGTCGGGCAGCAGGAAGCAGTGGTGGGTGGCCAAGAGGCTCCAGGCATGCTTTATTTGAGAAATGTGGTGGGCAAGGATTTCCTCGCGCTCCTCCTCGTTGCTCAGCGTGGAGTCGGTCCGCTGGGCCAGGCGCTGCAGCTTCTTGTGCTTCTCGCTGTCCGGCAGAAAGGAGGCGGCACTCATCGACAGCAGCGTGTTCGACATGGCCACAAGCGCCAGGATGTGGTTGGTTGTCAGCGTGGTGCTGAGCTCCCAATGGAGGCGTGAGGTGAATATGGCTGTGAGGTGCTCCAGCCGCTGCAGCTCCTCCGGAAGCGGGCGTTTCTTGGAACTGGAGGGCAGCTGAAGTCCTGGCGGAATGTCATAGTTGTTCTGCCAAGTGGGAAGCAGCAGGGACATGTAGCCAGCCTTGGAGAGCACTCCGTACGAGATTGGCACTATGGGGCGGAGCAGGCCCAGCCGCGTCTCACACATCTTGTCCAGGTGCGGGTCCAGGCCCCACGAGTGCAGTAGCGAGAGGAGCAGCTGGGCCACCTCCATCACGTGGGTGACCTCCATCTTGGAGGCGATCTTGCTTTTCAGGTCCTGCTGCTCCTCGTGCGACTCCACCGCCTTTTGCAGGCTCTCCACCTTGGCCTGCACTTTCTTCTCCACGATCTCCGTCTTCTCTTTGAACTTCTGAACGAGCCCGTGCTTGTCCTTATCCTTCAAAATCTTCTCCACGTCCACGGCTTTGTTCTTCACCTTGTTGAAGAAGTCGCCAATCTTCTTGCTCGCGTCCAGGTGCATCGACTTGCCGTCCTTTGGGTTCTGCAGGTGCACCCCCAGCACCTCCAAGTTGGCCGGCGTCATCTGGGCGTACTCCTCGCTGTGCAACTCGAAAATCAGTCCCTCGATGTCGAAGAATAGGATGTGGCTCTCGGCGTCCTTCGGGTTGGTGCGCAATCCCTGGATCACCAGTGGATTGCTGCGGTGCTTCATGAGGAAGTCGAAATTCCCTTGGTTGTGGCCCTGCAGCTGCTGCAACTGGGTGATCCCGCGCTGGGTGGCGTGCCGGATGGCGTTCATGTTCCTCGACTTGAGGCCGCGGAAAAAGTGAACCGCCGGATTGGCCATGCCCATCTCGCTGGCAGAGGCGCCGCTCACTCCAGAAGAGCCACCACCACCGCCGACCCCATCGTCGCCTGCCTGCTCGTCGCAGGCGGAGAGCACCTCCTCGGCAAGCATACCGTGGAGCACCCGGTCCAGGTGGCCGGTCTCCATCTGCCACACATACACTGAGCCGTCCGAGCAGCCCACTATAAGGAAGTCGTCCAGTGGGCGCCACTTGATGGTCACCACGGGAAACAGGTGGCGGCTGGCCAAGGTGACGCACTTGCGCTCCTGCAGGGAGACAAGGGTGACCGAGTGGTCGGAGGCGACCGAGCAGATGCACTTAAGAATCCGCGGGCTGCAGCTCTCCGGCGGTACCAGCAGCTGTGTGATCTCCCCCGCATGCACGCAGAAACGGTGCAGCATGCTGCCGCTGTACAGATCCCAGAGGCAAACGGCAAAATCGATGCCGCCGGACAGCAGGTGTGACTTCTCGTACCGCGAGTGGATCATGGAGGGGCAGAGCAGGCAATTCACCCTGCCGCGGTGCCCGTACAGGATCTGGTGCGACGGCCAGTCGCTGAAGTTCTGCTTGATGCCCACCAGCAGCTGCATCATTACCGTCTGAGTGGCGGGCACAATCACAATGCTGCCATCCTCGCGCCCGATGACTAGGCGACTCTGCTGCGGCAAGTATATGCTCGATGTGAGCTTCACTGGAGACTCTGTGATCCTCGACAGCTGATCCAGTATCCCCACGGGCGGAGGATCCATAATGGACCAGGCCTCCACCAGGGAAGTGCACACGTGTGGCTTAAGGACGCGGGGCGGCATCTGCTTGGCCTGCAGTATGCTAATGTTGTCCAGTGGTACCTCTGGCACATTCCACACCGAGATGTACCCCTCAGAGTCGCCACGCAGTAGATTGTGCTGTCCACCATTGCCGTTGGTGTTACCGTTGCCGTTGTTTCCAACCAGCAGCAGTTTCATGGCTGGTGGACAGGAGAGCACCTTGTCGCCGGCATGCTGGAGCACGTAGTACAAGTAGGGGGCGTCCCGGACGACGCTCTTGGAGTGGAATTCCTTGTTGTCGGGGATGCAGTTGGCGGGCAGCCTGTATAAGTAGCCCTTGCCCTCGTCCGTCCAGAGCATGACGCGGTCAGATGTGATGAAGTCGCCGCCCTGCCAGCGCTCGCGGGCCGGCGCGATCACCGAGCAGAGGACAGTGAAGTCGCCGGCGTCGTAGATCTGCCAGTACTTCGTGCACACCAGGAGCACGGTGCGCTGGTTTTGGGCACAGCAGTTCATGGTTATGGCGTTGAGGCAGCGGATCTCCTTCGACTCGTTCTCGTAGATGGGCTCCGCGTGCTTGTTCTCGTTCCCCGTCAGAGTCCACACCTTGACCGTGCCCGTGGTGGTGATGGCAAGGACCACGTCGTCCTTGCGCCGCATAGGACGGAGCACATGGATGGCTGATATCCAGTCCGGCTTCACCTTTGAGCTGAGCACATAGATTACCTCCAGGCTGAACGGGTCCATCACCATGATCTCGGCGTAATAGCCGATGCAGAACAGACGAATGTCCTCGCTGTTGGCCGTGTGATAGCTCTGAATCTGTGTGTGCACCTGCGGCAGCTTGACTGCCTCCATGCACTTGCCGTCGATGAGGTCCCAGGTGCACATCTCACCGTTCTCCGAGGAGCTCACCAGAAAGTTGTTTTCGGGTAGCAGCGAGGCTCGCACCAAGCACAGCACTGGAGCCGAGTGGCCCACCAGCAGGCAGCGGGGCGACATCTTCAGTGTGCTGGGTTCTACCTGCCAGAGGCAGATCTGTCCGTCGTAGCAGCCGGTAACCAGGGTGCACTGGTCGTCCGAAAGGAACACACTGGAAATGCAGTGCGTGGGCGCCGTGGGTCCCCACAGCACCACCGGCACCACCAAATTGGTACTCACCATGGTGTCGCCCACAGCACACCACCCTTACCCTTACTCCTGCTCCTTCTTCCCAATCACTCCTTACTGTCTTCTTTCCGTTCCTGCTTCGGGGCTTCTCTGGGCTCTGCAAGAAGTATTATTCTTAAGTAAAAATTTCCTCAACTTCGAGGGCGCGCCTGTGCATGCATGTGTGAGTAGTGCCTGGCCGTAGAGTGAGATCCTTCAGAGACAAGACCCTAAAGCTCATAATCATTATGTTACCCATTAACCGGGAAGCTGTTGGTGGAACAGCACGGAACTAACATGGACAGCTCCCGAGCAGGTAATATGTATTCTCCTTTCCATTCCATGCTCATTCTCCATTTTTAACATGAATGGCTATGCCGAATCTAGATCTATGTATACACATTCCAAGATAACAGTTAACTTGAACAGGTGACTGTAGTAGTGGCTGTTGCGTTATCGGATTCGAAATGAGCTTTCCCCTTTGGTTATGCCTCCACTGGTTTCACTCATTTGGGATCTACTGCTGCCAGCTGTTACTGTACTTTGCTTTGCCTACCTATTAGAATGGCCAAAGATAAACAAGAGATTTGAGCCGATCCAAATGGGGAGGTTATACAAAAGCAATGTAACGGACACGGGCATGGGAACGGGTAACGGGTAACCTTGGATCCGTAGCCATTTTTAGGGACGGACGACCGGAATGGCAGGGAATGCATTAGCATGGAAACCGATCGGATCGGGGCTGTCAGCAATTGAGGCAAGATAAATTAATTGAGCAGACGAGACTATTTGACATTGCCGCATACCAAACCCAAACCCAACGGATTGCTGGCTGCCTGTCTGCCTGTTTGCCTGTCCGTCTCTCTGCCCTACACATATACATGTACCTAGGTCCAATCGCACAAACGACGCAGAAAATGGGCACTAGCGCACACACATACGGACGCACACAAATTGGCAAACTCGCCAACAACAATAACTGTAGATATGTATGTAACTAAGCATTTTGCTAACATTTTTCTGGTGTTTTCCGTACTGGGGTGGCACGTGATTCCCTTCCTTCCCGATTCCTGTGCCGATTCTAGCTCTTTGTATAGCTAAGGTTTAGCTATTTTATCGTCTCGATTTCTGGTTGATAGCGATTATTGATCCTGATTCGCATCCCATCCACATCTGTCTGCGGATTTTTCGGTCTCGTGCTGTTTCTCCTGCTGCTGCTGCTGCATTCCAAGCTGTGTGTGTGCAGCGCAGTAAGAGAGGAGCGAACTTCAATGTCGTCGTTGCTGTCGTCCCACAATTCTAATTCATATGCACACAACCCCTCGTACGTGCTGCTGCTGGCTAACAATTACAACACACACGTTGCTATTGCTCTTGCCTTGCTTCTGCGGCTGTTATTGCTGTTGTTGTTATTTCTGTTTTTGTTATTGCTGACGATTTTTCATATTATGCATATTTCCATTTTGTTTTTGATTCACCCGAACTGTTGCACTCTCTGGTACAAGTTTGAACAGCACTAATAATGGTCGATACACGCGCACTCAAATAATTGATTTTAGCAATTGATTTTTAATACGTTCTTCCATATATTTTATTTCCCTTTTTTGTAGGACAGGCAGAAGAAAAAAAGCAAATATCTTATCGACCCGTAGGGTAAGATTTTCGATAAGTTTCAGTGTTGCCGCACTCGCGAATCGATTACGAGCTGTCTGCTCTACGTGGGAAGGAGCGACAGCCCTGCGACAAAAATTTAATATTTTACTCCAATTGTTTATAATTTTATAGTTTTTGCCACACTTTCTACAAACTAGATGACAATGTATGAACAAGATCATTGTGAACGCAATTGCGAACACTTTCATAGCATTTGGGGCATTTTAGACACGAGCCCACATGGAGTGGGCGACTATGTTGTTACTTTTGGCCCAACGGACAACACTTTCCACACAATTGCATTTTGCACAATGCAGTACCTTTTTACATATAAATTGTTTGAAAGCATTCAGAGATAAATCCCTGTGAATGGATCTGGACTTTATTATCACTCGCTGGATATGTTTATGAACAACACATATGTATTAATAAGTTGGCTCAGCACACAGGCAGAAAGAGGTCGTCCAGTTGTTTGCAGGACAAACAATTGTTTAAATCGAATCGTATAGAGCAGTCTAACAAGGTTTTGTTAAATTTATAAGAGCAATATTGGTTTACTTACTACTTTATATAGTTTTTGCAGTTTTTTGTGTACTTTAATATCGCTTTATTTTGAATTTACAACACAATTCGTAAAAAACACACACTTTTGAATGGCCAGCAGAGAAACATAAATTCGTGCTGCCAACTTGTCGCAAAGAAAAGGCGCGCGTGCAGCGCAGTAGTCTCAAATATATCGATTAAGAACTTTAAATAATCTTTACTATGGAGGCTGACTTTTTCCTTTATAGTATTAAAAAAGCTGATTTAATTAATTACACGTTTTTCGCATCAGTTTGATGATGTCTGTTTTCCTAAAAATTGCACTCTTGCAGAGGTCGACCTGCCGATAGTTTTAGAGAATCAACAGCTGTGAATACCCTTGTTAACACCATATCTTTTTGTTGGTAAAGTTTGTCATCGCTCTGCTGAAATATAAAAGGTATATATTTCCTGGATAACATAAGCGCATTTTCTTGTAAGCTGTGGTCATATATTAATAAAATTTAGAGCGAAAAATGGCTACAGCGGTTGTACATTTGTAAATGCATCATGTATGAGTGCATACATAATCGAAAGAGTATTTGACGAAGTATGACGAAGAAATTATTCATTGTTTTTGTTTTGCCACAACGCAGACACAGCGGCATCCACATCACACGGCTGCCTTATAGCTTGGTCTATGGCAAATTGAGAATGCTCATAATTGGTTTAGCGCAAAAATTAATTGACTGACCGATTAATGCAGCAGCCTGGTGAAATATGCAAAAAATCTCCAATAACCTGTACGTGATTTGCCATCTGTGGGTGTTACTCGGTCTGGTTGCGCAGGGAATCTCACAGAAGCACTACACACGGGCGCGCATGTTGGAGCTGCGGTGAGTAATTGATAAGTTAGTATGGACAAAAACCGTTCAACACTATACCCTCATATACTCTGCCACTCCCCCAGAGAGGATGTTCGGCGGATGTTCCAGCACGCTTACGACGGCTATCTGACGCACGCCTCGAACTATGACGAGCTACGCCCACTTACCTGCGACGGCCATGACACATGGGGCAGCTATTCGCTTACGCTAATCGATGCCCTGGATACACTGGCCACTATGGGCAACTTCACCGAGTTTCAGCGCGTCTTCACTCTGCTCACAAAAAAGATGAACTTCGACCGGGACATCAACGTATCCGTCTTCGAGACGAACATCCGTATCGTGGGAGGCCTGTTGTCCGCTCATCTGCTGTCGCGCCGCGCCGGCGTTGTGCTGGAGCCGGGCTGGCCCTGCCAGGGTCCGCTGCTACGCATGGCCGAGGACGTTGCCCGACGCCTGCTGCCGGCCTTTGACACCAACACGGGCATGCCCTACGGCACGGTGAATCTCCGTTACGGTGTTCCCAAGGGCGAGACTCCGGTGACTTGCACGGCCGGTGTGGGTACCTTTCTCATCGAGTTCGGTACGCTGAGTCGCCTAACCGGCAACAAAATCTATGAGGAAGTGGCGCTGCAGGCCGTGTACGCCCTCTGGGAGCACCGATCACCCATCGGGCTCTTCGGCAATCACATTGACGTGCAGAGCGGCCGCTGGACAGCCCTCGACTCTGGAATTGGCGCAGGCGTCGACTCCCTATTCGAGTATTTAGTAAAGGCCGCCATATTGCTTAACCGGCCTGAGCTTCTCGAGCTCTTCCACGAGGCGCGTGCCGCCATCGACAAGTACATGCGTAAGGAGGACTGGTATGTGTGGGTGGGAATGAACAAGGGCCACGTCACTCTGCCAGTCTTCCAGTCGCTGGAGGCATTCTGGCCTGGAATCCTCAGCATCATCGGCGACACGGAGCCGGCTATGCGCACCATCGTGCGCTACATTAGCGTGTGGAAGAAGTACGGATTTTTACCCGAGTTCTACAACATTGCCGCCGGCGAGGCGTCCCCTGATCGCGAGGTCTACCCCCTCCGACCGGAGCTAATCGAGTCGGCAATGTATCTGTACCGATCCACCAAGAACGAGTACCTGCTCGAGCTTGGCGAGCGGGTGCTGGAGTCGCTAGAGTTCAGTGCCAAGACCAAGTGTGGGTATGCCACGGTAAGCATCGGCAACTCGTTGCTGATTCTTCCTGATCATTGATAGATTATTTTTGTTCCTTTTCCAGATTCGCAATGTGCTGACGCATGAAAAGGAGAATCGGATGGAGTCCTTCTTTCTGGCTGAGACGAGCAAGTACCTGTATTTACTCTTTGACGGTGACAACTTTCTGCACAGCGACGGGGCCCAGGGTGAGCTGCTGGAAACGGGGCAGAACGTGTGCGTGGTGCAGGCGGGTGCATACATTTTCAACACGGAGGCGCACCCCATGGACATGTCGGCCCTGCATTGCTGCCACGACCATAATGAGGATATATTCGGCTCCCTGGACCTGCAGCGGTTTAGCGCCAATGCGATCTTCAAGCGCAGTCGCGAACACCAGATGGCCGAACAAGATCACTGGGTGCCTCAGTGCCAGTCGGAGTCTGATGACTTTCCCAACTATGATGAGGAGCCGAACCCCAGGAACCAAGAAAAGGGCAAACACTTCACCACAATGGCCGTAGACATCGAAGTTTTCGACGAATTTGCACAACCGGTGGGGGATGTGCTGGTGAGCAACTTCGAGCGCATACAAGAGGAGCGTGAACTCAACCAAAGCCTGTTGCAGAACAACCACAAGGTGCTGCGAAACCAGCTGACCGTCAGCGATCTAGATGAGTTCTTTTCTAGACGTCGAGAGAGCTTTGCTAACGCCACGGACGCCCTCAACTATGTGCTGGCCTTCATGGGCAAGTTTACGATGGATGTGGCCTTCATCCGGGGCCTGCAGCTGTACGACGGCAACATCAGCAACTTCCTCGGAGCGGGTGCTCAGAAAGAGTACGAAGAGCGCATGCGCTCTCTGTGGGAGCTGTACGATCTGGAGCAGCAGTACGCGGCCAACATCGTGCTCATTCAGCACCTGCAACTGCTTAGCTTCCAAACCGACGGCGAGCTGATGCGCAGCCATCTGGCCGAGGTCCTAGACAGTCTTGATAGACAGCAGGATCCTCCTCAGCACTCTCAGTTGAACATTGCCGCCTTGTCCGCCTTGGACTCCATGCGGTGGCATGCGAACTCAACTACGCAAGCTCCGAAAGTGGACGATATCGACCAAACTGTACTCAAGGCCTGCATCGGCTACGAAATAGCCATGATGAACACCACCGCCATGCAGGCTTTTGTCCATCGCATCTACCTCATGGGTACCAAAGAGGCGACGCCCCACTTCACCCTGCTGCTCGATCCTGTCGAGCTGGGCACCCTGAAGGTCGTCCAACTAAAGCCACCTGAGCAGCGGGAGCTATTCAAGTACACGCGCCGCCTCGTTGCTTTCCGGAAGCGGATGTCCGAGACGGTAGACCGCCTGCAGACCCTCATGCTGAAATTGACGCCGAGCAAGGAGAAGGCCGTAGCTCTCGCGACACCAACAGCTCAGCCATCTGTTGTCCCAATGGAGGCTTCGTCAGCGCCTGTTGCCAACGTTGAAGACAGGGCAAAGGCTCTGCAGCCGGAGCTGAAGCAGCACAAGGAATCGGAGGAGTCTGATGAGGAGTCTGAAGAGGGATCGGTGTGGTCACAGTTTGTGCAGACCATTCTGCGTAAGACCACTGTGCAACGGGTAAAGTTCGACGAGGGGTTGCTGCAGGAGAAGACCCGCACGGCGCTAGAAAAGCACTCCCACAATGAGAGCCCCCACAGTGAGCTTTTCACCTGTCAGCGACCCGAGTTCATCGAGCAGTTTGCGTACCGAGAGTTCTACCCCATGACGTAGTAAGGAGCCGCCATCTAAACTCGACTGATCTGTAGATGTGTTTTCACATATTGTGTAGTTAGGGGGCATTCACATCTGAATAGTTATGTTATCAACTCAACGCATATCTATTGGATATGCTGTCTGCATAGACAAACTCCTCAATTCTTGTTTAGTTTTCATTATTAGGTTAATTAATTGGTCCTTGATCATAGGGCTCTATTTTGAAGGATTCAAACTCTAACTAAACTCGGACTAAATTGTTCGAGAGAAGCATTTGAATGCTTTGAGCTCCAAGTTCTAAGGATCGTTGGTAAATGTTGCATTTGGAATGTGTACATATGGAAATTTCTGCGAACTTTGCTTAGTTATTTACCATTTTGAATAATTTTGCATATTTAGGTACATATACTATTTTTCAAATTGATATTGGTGCACTTTACGTGGAAGTGGTTCGTTTTTACTATAAATAGGAACGTTTGGTATGTTGACTTTAAACTAGAATGGAATGGGATTGCAGTAATAGTTATTTCAATAGTTATAATGGAGTAGTACTTATATGTACTACGTCTGTAAATCAGTGAGCACTTGCAGTGCTTTTGCGACAGGGCCTTGTCGACCGCTAAAGTACATACATAGGTATGTAGTACATACTATGTACATAAGTATTTGCGTGTTATGCTCGTAGTTTTTATTTGAGAACTTTTAGGTGAAGAATAAGTTTTGTACATTTCATGATGTTCCTTTTAAATAAATTATTTGTGCTGAATCTATTCGGTAATAAAAGAGAATAGTGAAGCGGATGAGGATGGATGGATGCTCTTTCTGCTTTATTTTTTTGGCAATTCATTTATTATAATGAATACTTCTCATTTTCATGTTTTTTTCTGTTTATCTTTCTGTTAAGCACCAAAAAAACAAGGTTTGTAAATACTTACATACCTTCCATAAATTTATACAAGTAAATGACAGATGTACATATTTGGGAAACGTATATGCGTGTTGACTGTTTGTCTTGACTATTGTTGACTGATTGTAATTAAATTGATTTATACCTACATTTATGCATTCAATTAGATTCGATTATCTAATATTGGCGACATTCAAGAGGCCCCGGCCCCCAAGATAAGAAAAGGAAAGGAGTAGTGTAGTCGGTTGCGCAACAGACCCATGGGGCAAAGGTTGCGCTGTTGCCGGCTAAAGCTGCGCCTGCGATTGTTTAAACACGCAATGGCAATCATTTCAATGGGTTTATTTTCGGAAATTTGTGTTTACTTCAAGGATTCGGGTTCGGTATGGCTTGTACCAAATTACGCCCATGACATGAAATGAACTGGAAACGAAGTTGAAACGAAGTGAAATGAAAGTTGTTGAATGGAATGGAAATGGGTGTGGGTATGCGGAATGGAATGCTGGCAGTGGAAAAGTATAACGAAACTAGTATGCTATGGTTGGCAGGCCCAGGCCCCCCAGTAATGGCGTATGACGTCGACGGAACTGTGATTGTGGGTCACAGTCGCACACCCACCCATCCTTCCTGCCACAACTGCTTGAGGCTCTAGGCTCGGCACGGCTCCATTTCTGTGTGCGTTGTGTGTCGTGGAGGGGGATGGCATGGCTGAGATTGTATTGAGGGGGACGTGAGGATGCGTGTGTAGGATTGGAAAAATTGCCTGCCATACATCCGACAACCGACAACAACAGCTACAATGGCGAAAGTATAATGAGTGCAATTTTTGTAAATGAAAGTAAAATGAACATAAAGACAGACGGCCGAGAGAACTGATAGACGTGTTTTTGCATTGAGTAAAGTAAGACCGACGAGCAAGTCAAACAGAGGAAGCACGCGCCGGGGTGCAGACGGTGACGGTTTGACTTCGAGTACGATTTCGGTGAGAGAATTGAGAGACAATCAGGATGAGGTCCACCGGCGTGGCATTGGAGAACGACGAGGATGGCGAGGGTGGGCAGGAACAGGACCACCATGAGGGCGATCCGCGTCCATTTCCGTACGACTTTGAACAGGAGTTGATCAGAAAGTCCAACAGGCATATACGCCTCTATAATGCCTTCGTACCGGTTAGCAAAGGTGCCTTGACAGACGTTTTGATCTCCTCATTTGTTCCACCTGCTCCTCATCCCTAGAGTATATGCTGACTCGTAAATTCTACGCCGAGTACGAGCAGCGGAAGCCGGCGAAACCCCTGCGCTTTCTGCGCTACACCCAACCGGAGAGACAGCTGGAGCGGCAGAGGCAGCTGGGCTTGGGGACTCCTCTGCTGGAATCGCAGATGTACGGCTGGCTGCCAGTGCAGGGTCAAAAATGCGCCCTAGAACTAAATTTCCTGCATGCCCCAAAAATGCGCTGCAGCATGACGATCCATGGCGAAAACCTGATGGCGGAGCGCATCACCGAGCGTCCTACATTCAATGGACTGCGCTTTTTGCTACACTAAACTAAAAACAAAAAATTTTAAATGCAAACCGCAGTGCAGTAGTGTGTCAGCACTAAGGAAGCGGGTTTGAAAGCCAGTTGGCAGCCCTGCCTACTCAATGTTTACGTTCTGCGCTTTATTTTTTGCAATAAAATAGAACATACATACATGTATAAAATACAGTTCAGTTCCAAATATTAGCGAAGTTGTAAATGTGGGATAAAATCTGTTATTTATTTATAAGTATAGCCTAGCTGGGGTCGATACAGTAAAATATCATCCACGTCGCCCGACTGGAGCTGGAGCCAAACAAAATGGTATGAGATGGGCAGCCGGAGCCAAAGTTCATGTTGATGGCTTAATTTCAGCCTCCGCTGCGCCTAATGACTTTATTTCCAAGCACAGTCATACATATGCACATACGAATGTTTTTATAGGCTCATTCAAATAAGGCAAAGAAGGAAGCCAGAGGTTCGAATTCACAAAAACCAGCGACGAACCCCAGCGACCCGCCAAATAATGCCCAGACCAATCTGCAGGCCCCCAGTCCGGATCAGTTCCATGAACTCCTACTTCACACCCTGCAAAAGTCATGTAAGTCGTTGACTATATCCAGTCCAATATGTGGACTCTGATTTCCCCTCTTTTGGTACTTTCAGGGCTGCGAGCTCGGCATTTTTTCATGTCCGAGCTAAGTGGAAGCGAGCTGTTCGAAACCGCAGCGGTATGGTGCGCCCACAATCCCCACATTGCCATCTGTTTGTTGGCAGCTAGCTTGGTATTCCTTCTACCATTCCTTATCATTTTCGGTTTTGGAATCGCGACCATGGTGATGACTTTCACGGGTCTATTGGTGCTAGAAGGTAAGAAGAAGCTCAGGCTCGGGCTGAGGATGATTTTTTACCAGACTTCTCCGCTTGTTCCAGGCACTCTTCTCACCATTGTCTCTATGATGTTCTTTGCATGCCTGGGAGGCTTTGCTATCATGGTTCCGGTGATTGGAGTCGTTACTGTTGGTGCATACTTTGGATTAGCTCATGTGTATGGGTTATATAACGGTAAAGAGCGCCACAAAATTGCTAGGTTTTTCAAAGATCCGCCCAAGCAATGTGACGCGGTGGCAGCATCAGTGAAAATTTCTGAAGATCCAACCATGCCATGCCCTATACTTGCTAATCAAAATAAACAACTGAAGAACCATTAAAAGTACTTAATAATTAATAATAATAATAATTAATTAAAAAACAAAACTTTTTCAAAAAAAAACCCCTCGCTACACTATAATTTAAAATGGTTGGCAGTCCCAGCAGAACGGTCGCTCCCAGCACTAATTCTGTAGTCGTCGCACCAGGGTATATATATTATATTTGTCGAAATTGGGTTCCATATATATCTACGGAGTATTGGGATATAATGGTATATGTAATCAATTTCATCAATTTATTATATATAATTTTTAAGGTATATAAAGGAATATAGGGTATCAAAACTCCCATACACAGGTTTTTTTAATATTCCCTCCAGGCGATTTTCTCTTTTTGAGCCTAGTACTCAGATTCAAAAACTGTTTGCTAGCAAACAAATGTCATATATTCTTCCAGCGGCCAGTTGTGTGACCAGAGGTGGGCACTGCATTCCGTACGGTTACACTGCTCAGATAGCTGCTTGGATTTGTTTAAAGTTAATAAAATGAACTTCATCGGCTGGGTCGTTCTTCCCCAGGCATATCCTGGGCTCCCCAATATTTTATTGGCAAGGTAATGTGTCTGACTATCAGCAGCAGCAGATTGCCACGCCTCCAAAACTGGTCCAAAACTGTTTTCTAGGCTCTGTACGGAAGGCAGTACTCAGGTCGGTATATACTAAAAAAGGATCCGAAGTATTTGCTTGTATTGCTGGTATGTTTCGACCCACCCAGAAAGTTATATCAATTTGATACATTTTGCCAGCAAACACGAAGCAAACATTGCAATATGAGAAGAAAAAACCAAATGAAAGATTTTTATAATGAAGACAAATAGAATCTAATTAATGCAGTATTATATGAATGACAATTATATGGATATTATAATGTATTATTTTTATTAATTTTCATAAATATAAAACAAATATTGTTTTCAAAACATTTTGTCTTCACGGTGGTCGGCACGGGAGGCTGCTGCTGATAGTCAGACACTTTACCTTGCGAATAAAATATTGGGGAGCCCAGGATATGCCTAGGGAAGAGTGACCCCAGCTGAAGAAGTGCATTTTATTAACTTTAAACAAATCCAAGCAGCTGTCTGAGCAGTGTAAGCGTTCGGAATGCAGTGTCCACCTCTGGTCACACAACTGGCCGCTGGAAGAATATATGACATTTGATTGCTAGCAAACAGTTTTTGGATCTGAGTACTAGGCTTAAACCTTACTTTATAAGCAATCCAATAAAAAGGAGTCCTAAAGTTTGACAATCTTGTTGATGCATAAAATTATATTTTAAGAATTTAGAGTCCTAGCTAGCTAAAAATATTAAACCGAATATCAAAATGGGGGAATATGATTTCCGATCATGGACAGAGAACGATTATCCCAATGTCGACCAGTGAGTATTTATATACAAACACTAAAATTATGAAACTTGATGAATTGTGACGCAGTTCAGGAGAATGAGGAAGGATTGATCTACAAGGAATATTTATAAACAGTATTATTTTATTATTATTTTCTTCTCGGTATATTTACGGTTTATTTTGAAAATGAGAAAGGATATTTCTGAGGGTGAGGCGACATATTTGATCGATAAGTCTCCGGTCACACTACGCTCCATGTATACATAGTGTACATACTGGTTTGTGTGTGTGAATACACTGGTTTTCATTTTAGAGATTTAAGTGTAGTGTGTTTCATCAACAAAAACCTGCTTCAAGCAGAATTACCCTTTCCAGACGCGGTAAGTAGTTGAAAAGGATTATGTTCTTTAAATGGGCAATGTAAACATTATTTGTAAAAGAAAAACAGCAGTCGCTTAACACACACATGCACAAATACACATTTGTGTAGGTGAGTATTGTATTGCAAAGAGATAAAGGCCAAAAATTAGATTATGTACAGAGTTAGTACTCAACTCAGATGTGTATGTGTACACAGAAATAATTGTAAAAATGTTGTTTGATCTTAATAAATAAATAGTGTCTCTTAAGTTTAATAAGGATAAGGTAGGCGCTGGACAGATGCACTAGATTAGGTCCGATCAGTCGAACTGATATTTGAAGCGGCGGAATATTTCTTTGGAATACCTGAATTTCGTACTAATTCCAACATTTAGAAATAATGAAATCAGTATTGTTCCAGGAATTTCCTTAATAACACTACTCAACACGATTTTTCCTCAGGGAACTTGTGTCACATTTTTTCCGACATTCATGTTAAAATTGAAAAAATACCGCAAAAAACCAATAGTTTTACATTTGAAAGTTTAAGACTTTAGAAACGGTAAGCTGAAACTACAAAGTGCTTGGGTTTAATTTATAGCTGCATTTATTAGCTTTTCAGAATGGCAAAGTTAATTACAAGCAGATGCAAGATAAATAGAACGCGCTACCTCTGAGAAAATCATATATAAAATATACCAATTTTTAAAAGTTAAAAAAAAAATTGTATGTCGGATTTTAAGACTTTTAGGTAGTTCGATTTTGTTGAGTAGTGTAATCAGCCATGCCCGTTTTCATAAGGCTGTTTTTCTTTGGAAATCGAATTACTTTGTGTTCTTCCGCCTTAATTTAATCGTTGACTGCGATGGTTTTTATACCCGCACTCAAAAAAGAGTTAAGGGGTATATTCGGTTTGTGGTAAAAGTGGATGTGTGTAACGCGGATAAGAAACGTTTCCGACCCCATAAAGTATATATATTCTTGATCAGCATCAATAGCCGAGTCGATATAGCCATGTCTGTCTGTCTGTCTGTCCGTCTTGTTGAGCGCCTAGATCTCAGAGACTATTAGAGCTAGGGCAACCAAATTTGGTTTCCAGGCTCATGTGATATCACACTGCTACAAGTGTATTTCAAAATTTCGCCCCGCCCCCACAAAAGACGAAAATCTGTGGCAGGCACATTTTCAAAGATACGATAAAACTAAAAACGCAGTATCGTAGAGAATGCCCATATCTACCAGATTGCCGAATCTGAATTAGATCGGATCATAATTATAGCCAGAATGAAGAAATTAATTTTCCGTTGGTTCTTCCGCCCCCTCCTGCAAAAGATCCGCTATCTATCTCTTTCTCGCTCGCTCACTCTGCCGCGTTTAGTGCGCGAGCAACCCCTAGCGGAGGAGATGTAGAATCTAAATGGAACATGTACAATCTACATGTTAGATGTAGAATATACATTGTACATGTAGATGTAGATAGCAGATGTAGCAAAAATATGTAAACTGTAAACTTTTTTTTTTATTCTAAAATTTCATAAAAAATTATATGCTCAAAAAATGTATATACTGACTGAGTACGGGTATAAAGTAGAGTCGCGTCCCCAGAAGCGACTCGCACGTTCCTTCTCGTTTTTTGTTAATTTGCTTATGTTTTTTCTTTTTCTTCGCGATTTAATGCGTACTCTAATCGATGTGTCAACTATCGATATAAGCCAATCCAGCAATTTTTGCGTGTTTATGTGTGTCTTTTTGCCGAAAATGATAGAATAATTTTATATTTTAGCCTATTGCTCAGACGCGCTAAATTTTTTTTCGACCGAATCAGGGATGATATTCGTATGGAAACGTTAAGAATTTTTTTCCGGCAAAAACTGTTTTCTAGACTCTGTACGAAAAGCCTAGTACTCAGATCAAAGAAAACACTTCGCGAACAGAATCAGGGTTGATATTCGTATGAAACCGATAAGAAATTTTTTCCGGCAAAAACTGTTTTCTAGGCTCTGTACGGAAGCACTAACCGAGTCGAGTTTTCTGTCCCAGCTCCCAGGGCCTTCAGTTCTGTGAGGCTGAGACATTCGGGTCGGGAGCCAGGCCATTCGGGTCGGGAGCTGGGCCGTTCGGCATGTATGACTCATGGCGGAAAGCGAAAGCAAGCTGAGCGGCGGGCGCGCGGGTTATTCTTCCATTCTCTTTTAGGCTAGCCTTTGCCTCTGCTTTCGGCTTCGTAAATGCCTCGGCCCGCGTCGAGTCGAGCGACAGAATACGCAAAAAAAATATGAAGTCTGACGACGGGAATAGGTTGAAGAAACAAAACTCCAAATAATGGATAAAAAATATAATAGCCACTGATAAACAAACATTAAATTTATTAGATTTTATTTCAAATGAAAAAAAAAGGAACTGGCGTGAAAAAATGGAGGGCCCCAGATTGATGGTTGCCCAGGGCCCGGTTGAGGGTTGATGCGGCCCTGAATAGGTCGATTTTGGTTTAAAACTTTAAAATTTAAAGTTATTTGTTTGTACTGTGTGTATTTACAGTGGGGAAAAGAGGTGGCAAAACTAAAAAATATTTTATGAACCCTTTGAATAAAATAAATGTACACTTCTAGTAGATCATTTTCCAGAGCTTTAGCGACTCAAATATTCAAGATAATTTTAGTTTAGGAGTTATGAGAAGTGATATCATCCTTTATTTTCATATAATGTTTTTATTTCCCACCCCCACCCACTCTGCCCAAACCTCATTTATGTTGCGGCAGGTCAGCTCAGGTCGCTACATCAGCCCTCAAAACAAAACGAAAAACCGAAATTCAGTTCAAGCGGAACAAAATTGTAGAGCCCACACACAAGCACAGTATGTGTGAATACATGGCACACACACACATTTACTTAACCTGGAAACGAAACTCAAAACGGTTTCGGAAAACAAGAATTAATAGCTTGCTTTCGCTTCCCGACATGAGTCATACATGCCGAACGGCCCAGCTCCCGACCCGAATGTCTCAGCCTCACAGAACTGAAGGCCCTGGGAGCTGGGACAGAAAACTCAGCTGCGACACGTTCGTTGTATGAACTGGCACATCTATATACTGTATGGTTAGTGACGGAAGGCAGTAACAAAAAAAAGATCGGTATATACTAGAAAAGTATCCGCAGTATTTGCTTGTATTGCTGGTATGTTTCGACCCACCTAGAAACTTATATCAATTTGATATATTTTGCCAGCAAACAAGAAGCAAATATTGCAATATGAAAACAAAAAACCAAATGAAAGATTTTTATAATGAAGACAAATAGAATCCAATTAATGCAGTATTATAT